CTGTACTTAAGGGATTGGAAGATGTAATATTGTTAAAATGTCCATACTACCCAAAACAATATACAGATTCAGTTCAGTCCCCATCAATATTGCAATGGCATTTTTTCACAAATATTTTAAAAATCCTAAAATTTGTATAAAACTACAAAAGACCCTGAATAGCCAAAACAGTATTGAGAATAACTAAGCCAGAGGCATCGCACTCCCAATTTTAAACTATCTTACAAAACTATAGTTAACCAAAACAGTAATGGTATTGGCATGAAAACACACACATAGATCAACTGAACAGAGTAGAGAGCCCAGAAATAAGGCCACACATATATGGTCATTGTACAACAAAAAGAGTCGAGAATATGCAATGGGGAAAGGGAAAGTCTTTTCAGTAGTATTGGGAAAGCTGGACCCCCATCTTAAACCATACATAAAAATAAAATGTTATTAAAGACTTGAATTCAAGACCTGAAACCAGAACACTTCTAGAAGAAAACATAGGTGGTAAGCTCCTTAACATAAGTCTTAGGAGGGATTTCATGGATTTGATACCAAAAGCAAAGTCAACAAAAGCAAAAATTAACAAAAGGGACTAGATCAAACTAAAAGCTACACAGCAAAGAAAACCACCAATAAAATGAAAAAATGACAGACCCAATGGGAAAAAATATTTGCAAATCCTACATCTGATAAGGGCTTAATATTCAAAATGTATAAAAAAAATTCAATAGCAAAAAGCAAGCAACATGATCAAAAAAAATGGGCAAATAGAATATTTTTCCAAAGACATACAGATGGCCCACAGGCCCATGAATATGTGCTCATCACCATTAATCATCAAGGAAATGCAAATCAAAACCACAATGAGGTATCACCTCACAGCTGTTAGAGTACCTATCATCAAAAAGAAGTAAGTGTTGGAGAGGATGTTGAGAAAAGGGAACCTCACACACTCTTGGTGGGAATGTAAATTGGTGCTGTCACTAAGGAAAGCAGGACAGAGGTTTTTCAAAAAATTACAAATAGAAATAGCCTATGATCCAGCAGTTCTTCCTTTGGGTATTTATCCTAAGAAAAAGAAAACTTAGGAAAATATATGCACCCCTATATTCATGGCAGCCTTAATTACAAGAGCCTAGAAATGGATACAATCGAAGTGTCCATCAATGGCTGTATGGATCAAGTAGATGTGTATGTATACAATAGGATACTCTTCAGCCATAAAAAAGAAGGAAATCTTGCCATTTGTGATAACATGAATGGACCTTGAGAGCATCATGGTAAGTGAAGTAAGTCATTCAGAGAAAGATAAATACCACATGATCTCACTTACTGGGGACTCTAAAAACAAAAGTAAGCTCATCAGCTGGTGGTTGCCAGAGGAGAGAAGGGTGTGGGGTGGGTGAGAAGGGTGAAGGTCAGAAGATACAAACTTCCAGTTATTTAAAAAAAAAAAAAAAAAGTCATGGGAAATAATAGTACAACCTAGTGACTATAGTTCATAATGCTGTATTTGCATATTTGAAAGTTGCTAACAGAGATCTTAAATGTTCTCATCACAAGGGGAAAAAATTTTAACTAGACTTACTGTGTTCATCATTTTGCAATATATACCAAATACCGAATATTGTTGTGCACTTGAAACTAATGTTATATGTCAATTTTATACCTCACAAAAGGAGTGAAACCCATAAAGGATATAGGAAACCAAATTTGATAATTAGTTGCTCATGCATTTATCTCTAAGAGATTATATTCTCAGCGGATTAGCTGCCCACCAATGCCCCTAAGAGTGAATTCATCACTATAGAACGAATGAATAGAATCTAAGAACACCTGTGTTTTTTCTTCAATTACCCTAGCCTTGAAAAAAAAAAAAAATTAAAATACTTTAAATCACTTAAGGTTATTTTTAGTTTACAAACTTGAAGGAGAACAATTCATAGTTTGGACTAAATGAAAAGGAAATCCTTAGGCCCATCTTATTTTCCTCCACTGACCTGTCATCTTTTGACCCTTTAATTCTGAAAAGCCCATCTCCTCTTAAGCATCTTCTGATAGATCTGCTTTTTGATACTTAATCCAGGAAAAAAGGAGATCAGTGATGGTTCTGCTTTCCCTTTTAGGCAAAAGAGGAAACTTCCAAGCTAAAAGCTGATGGAAAAAATACAAGTTAAAGTTCACACTATTTGGTAAGTTGGGTGTTTGTTGTGAATGAAGACTACTGTACCTTCCACAGACCTGTGTTATAGGCGAGGGAAACAGTCCACTTCTTACCTATGCTCTCTTTATACTATTGGCATGAAATGTACATTGCACTGTCGAGGTTAATTTGCTGAAAAGCAATAAATGGAATCATCTGCTACTGGAATGTTTAAAAATAGTAATCTTATAATTAAGAGCTCTTTAAAATATCAGGCCAGACTCCTAAAGAAAATGACCACCTAAGTCTAGCCAAGTCTTTGACACCCAAATGCTTGTGACTGCAGGTTACTGTGACAAAGCCCAGATAGCCTGTGACATCTTACAGAGAAATGTCATGGTGCTGATGTTACTGAAAGACCAACATGGTAGGCTGGACAGAAGTACCCCTATGGTCTAGTGGAAATTACAGGGTTTTTTGGAACAAAGGCAAAAGAAAAGACTGCAAAAGTAAGATCAACAAAAGTGGTCCAAGTCAAGTGCTTTGTTTAATTGTACTTGATAGTGACTGACTAACCCATTTGGATGAGGGAATCTCTGAGATATATGTTGAGGGCCCTTATAATTCTTACTATGTAATTCCTCTTACCGAAGAATAGGTCTTATTCTAAGCCATCAAACCTTATGACCACTGGCTGACCAAAGCCTAAAGAAAATTAAAATGTAGGTTAGATTGGGTTAGTCTTTGTCACCATGGTCTTTTATTTCCTTTAACAAGGGGGAGGTGTCCTTATTAGAACTATTCCAAAGATTTTCACCCAAATTACAAGTTTTCTTTTTTCTAAATTCTAGAATTTTCTAAGAACATGCTCATGTTTACTTATAGGAAATTCCTTGTTGCTGTCAGTGCTTTTACTAAATGTTAAATTTACTCTGCCTGTGTCAAGAAAATTATGTATCAAACGGTTTACTGGATTTTTTTTTTTCCTTTGTATTTTTCAAGGTATCTGCCTATAAAATCTTCAGCAGGTGGATGGTGACTTTTGAAGGACTTTTGAGTGACTTTGAACAACAGCAAATTTTTCTGGGTGGCTTCTAGACAGTGTTACTTGTCGAATCTTGACATCCTAAACATTGGTTATTCTTTCCCCAGAAAGAAAATGAATTTGTGTGGTTCATCTGTGTTATTGTACTGAGTGTTGATAAACTTTGAATTTTTAAAAAATGCCTTCAGTTGGGAGAGACAGGAACTTTATATTTCTATGAGATATATTTGATAGTTTCTTAAAGCAACACATGAAAAAAGAAAAAACCTTTGCAAACTTTTGCACATTCTACACACAGTGCCTGTAAATCTCATTCGTATTTTCAGTTAGCACTTAATTCTTTTGTTGTGGTTAGCATTTGGAAAACAATGCTTTGAACATGTTGAATGTCCTCATTTCTCATGATCCATTTCCTCTTGGGCTTTGGAACTGTACTTGAGATTTCTTTGGGTTAATGTTTATAAGTCAAACCTAAAATATTGTACATTGGGCACATTATCTCCTCTTGGGCTGCTAATAAACTGATAGCCTGGACAGACCAGGACACGCTGCACCCAGGACTCTTTTTTGCCAGTGGTTAGGACTTCTGCACCTTAGAGCCAGCACAAAAGATACTGAGACTTGAATCAAGTCAGAAGAGCAGAATGCATTCTGTGTCACCACATAACAAGTTCCAAGAATAGTAAAATCTAATCCTTAGAATATGCACAGGCCTTGAACGCACTTGGGTTACTGTGTTAAGCTATGCTTTCCATTTCTGATACGTGTAACCAGAACAGCCGATCACTCGCTTAGAGCCATTGCCCTGTTTGTTAGTCCGTGCACTGTATCCCGTCTGGCTTCAGGGAAGTTGGGTTCACCAAATACAAAAACTTCGACTTGAAAGAAAAATATAAAAGCCATCCGGAATTTAAAAACCTGTTTACCCCCACAGCAATTCAAGAACTAGATTCTGAGATCCTACGACTTTGAATGCTTTCTCAGATCTTTTGGAATGCATTGTTTATGAACATAGCACTGATATCCTTGAGGGGAGTCTGATAAATACTTAATTTCATCCTTATTTCTTGGTACTGAATGCAGGAAAGGATAATCAGGTCCATGTCATCAAACTGATTTGCAATTTGTTTCAGAGAGTACAGCCTTCCCTAGCAGGTATTCTAAGTTTTTATAAGAACTGGACTGACTTCACTAAAACTAAGTATCACCAATACTGTCTAAGGGTGGGGGAGGACAAAAAAAAAAGAGGACAGTTGCTTATAATGGGGCATAAAATTAATTCTTTAAAACTTCTCTTTAAAAAACATGCACATACCTATAGAATTTCAAACTTCACCCACTTTAAATGCTGTGTATCTATCCCATGAGAGATGCAGGCATTATCCTTTTATTCTAAATCTGGGAAATAAAAGCCGGTGTTAGGGTGACTAAACATAACGAGAACATAAAAAAACACTGTTCCTCTAGGATTTAACTGTATTTCTCTTTCTTCTTAGTATTAAGTTGGGTTTTTTTTTTTTTTTAAGTGAAACTATCGGCATTGACTGTGCAGGGGAGCGGCTGCAGTATTCCTGATTTCCATGCATATATACAAGTACTTTTAAATCCAAAGATTTAAGGCATGCTTGTAATAGTAAATGTGAAAGGCACTCTGCATATGCCTTTTTGTGAATGAGAAAGGTCTTCAAGACTTGGCGATGACTAGACCACACTACAGAATTGGAGTCCTCTTGAAACCTAGCTCATGAGGAGGAAATCATTGCAAATGTCTGCTTAGAGGCCAAGAAAACAATCTTTAGTACAAAAAAAAAGTGCACATTGTTGTAACAATATTGTATCTATTCAGAAAATGGGACTTCGTCAACTAAAGCAAATTAAAATAGGTTCCACAGGTGACCAGAAATGAAGACTATTTCCATGTTTCATTCAATCAAAATACAGAACACAATTAAAAATATTTTACGTTAAAATCTTGGCTTTGTATGTCTTTTAGAAGGTTAATACCTGGGGTTGGAAATTACCAGCAATTTCGGGTTTTGTTTTGATTTCTCAAACCATCAGACCATGCAATACATACAAAAATAGAATTGTAAACACATTTATGTCCAGAAGTCACTCTGTTCCACAGTGTATTAGAACACATTGACATTTTTCATATCCAAGTTTTACAGTATATTAAAACTCATAAAAGACTTCAAAGACGATACATTGTCCACACTTACACTAATCGTATTTTCAGTTATAATTTTTGGGAGACTGCCGCGACTTAGTCGCAGTAAGTGTCACTGACAAGTTATTGGGGAATCGTGAGCTAGGCCGACTATGAAGCAGGGGGAAGAAGCATCACCTACCCAAGGATCAACAGCTCCCAGGTTCAACTTCAGAAGAAAGCTTTCTCCTCTAGACCTGAATGCGCTCTGCTTTTTCAGAGGGACACTGTCAGTCAGGGTCTCTGAGGAAGTAGACCACACACTCAGGATTATTTGAGGAGGGTTCCAAAATTTTTTTTTTTCCTCAACAAAGATGAGGGTAGGATGGAAGGAGCCCACAGGTACCGCCAGGGCCCGTCAAAGCCAGGCACTCACTCCACCCCTCCCTCGGCCTGAAGGGATGAGAGGAGGAAGCTGCTATAAGAAGGAAGATGTTGAAAGGACTGTGAGGGAAAGAGGGCCACCTCTCAGGAGCTAGTTTGGGTGGAGGTCAGCCAGGGAACCAGGGTAATAAAACAGCCCCCTTGTACTCTCTCCTACCCCAGGTCCCACCTGCCTGCTGGGAGACTGACCAAAAGTCAGAGAGCCAACAAGCCTGAGGCCATGGGCCTAGAGGTCAGCCTCTGGGCCTGCAGCAGGGAAGGGAAAGGTGGAACGTACTGGCTTGGTCACCGATCCAAGCGTTCATTGTTCAGTAGCCCCCACTATTCACAAGTCTTTAGGGGACAGTGACTAAATAGCTTATGGATGACACACACATGGGGAGCAGGGCTTTGGAAAGCACAAGGCTTAAGTATAAGGAAACAAAAGGAATAAGGTACTCCTCCACAGTAGGGAACCCACCCACCCCTTGGGTTAACATTGCAGGGCAACACCTATCAATAAAAGACACAGCAGCAGTAACCCATCGATGGACAATTGAGTAGCCGGTCTTTTAATAGGAATAGTCCAATGAGGAAGAAGGAAAAGGCAGTATCTTCAATGGAGCCAAAACAGTCATCTCTCATTTGAAAATCATCACATTTGACAACATTTTAGCAATCACACATCACAGGAACCAGCGAGGAACAAACTGTTAGAGCAGTTCAAGCTTCTCACTTTGTAGCCACACTCTGATCTTCTCAAAATTCTTATCCATCCAACGGATGTTTTCTCCAATGGTTTCAATTGTTTGCTGGACACAACGTAGCTGAGAACCCTTTTCTTTCAAAGAGCTGAAGAATTCTTTTACCTGGTAAGGAAAAACCAGATTTTTAAAAAATTTATTATATTACACAAATCTAAGTTCGGGCTAGTTAAAACTGAAGCCAAATTTCCAGCATTTGTCAAAATTCTACATAGAAGGCAGTGCCAGGTGTCTGGATACAATTATGTACACATAAACTTAAGCTATATGAAATGAGCCCATGCCTCATGAGGTCAGATTTTTATTTTTCTCTGCAGTTTTTTTTTATTCACAGTTGCCAGATTCTAAAAGACTTCACTGTATACTGTTTAATAATTAGGGTTTGAGTGTATTTATTATGTGTTGTTACATACACGCAGATGCAAACTTTTTTTTTAAAACATGGTATCTAAAAAGCAGAATGTGCAGAGTATCTTCTTGGCCAAATAAAACAGTTCCAACCACACAAATGCAGTCTTTCTCCATGGGTCTGGCCTTAGAGATTAGAGAAACACGGAGGAAAAGGGTTCTTAGCAAGTTATGGTGGTAATCCCCCCAAACGTTGCCAAATTTTTTTTATACTAATCCACAATCCATGTATTGTTCCTCTAAGATAAAATCCACACAAAGTTGCCCATGTTTTAACGAGATAAGAGACAGCTGTCCCCTCCTCTTGTTTCATGGCTGGGTTTCTTAACTCCTTTAAGCTCACATGAGAAATAGAAATAGTCTGGCTCTGCCCCAGGACGGACTATTGTGGTACTGTTTCACCTGAAAAGGGTCTTAGCCTTGTCCCCTAAGTTTTCACAGTGGAGATTAATCCATAAGTTTTTGACTGTGGAGATAGGAAGTCTAGGCCAAGATGTATTATTTATTCAACATGGATAAATAATTAATCCATAAATTTTTGACTGTGGAGATAGGAAGTAAGTCTAGGCCAAGATGTATTATTTATTCAACATGGATTCCAGACAGTTAATTCCTTAAAAATCCATGTTATAATATCCTATTTTAAGTTTGGGAATAAGAGAGGGGTAAGAACAGGCTTTTGAAAGGCCAAATTCCAATTTTAAATGATTCGGGGTTCTTTTAAAATTGTATCTCAATACCGCTTTCCGAGGAGCTCCAGGCCCACCCTCCTGCTCTAGCTGCCTAGGGAACATGGACCGCGCCTCGTGGTCCGCCTTCGGTTGTAGCTCAGCCCACTGGTTCACACTCTCAGACTCCAGACTAATATTCAGGTCAGAGAACAACTGTAGGCACTTTTCAGCAGTCCAGTAACATCAAAAACTTTACTAAGGGGCGCCTGGGTGGCTCAGTTGGTTAAGCGACTGCCTTCGGCTCAGGTCATGATCCTGGAGTCCCGGGATCGAGTCCCGCATCGGGCTCCCTGCTCGGCGGGCAGTCTGCTTCTCCCTCTGACCCTCCCCCCTCTCATGTGCTCTCTCTCTCAAATAAATAAATAAATAAAATCTTTAAAAAAAAAAAAAAACTTTACTAAGTATTTAATGATTAGACATAGTAAGTTACTTAAATATTTTCAAATAATCCTGAAGGAGCCCTTCACAAGGGTACCACTAAGAGAGACCTTTAAGAGCTGTAACAAAGCCAGCTGATAAGCCTTGCCCTCAAGCTTTTCCTGACCCCAAATTCTCTCTCCTATCCTCATCGACCTTGGGAAATGCAGCATCCCAACTGAGTGTTGGATTCAAACCTGCCTCCTTGAGAGTATTTTCTGTGCAATAAGCAGTGCGATATAGAGATAGAAAAGAAACGGTTTTAGCCTACTAGTTTGACCCTTTGTAAACAAGTTAACTTCTCTGGGACTCAGTTTCCTCTTTTGTAAGGTAAGGCTGATCTCTCCCTCACAGAGCACTGGCGAGAACGTGGTTACATAATGTGGGTCAAGTGCAAAACCCAAACCCCAGCCATGTATCAGGGATTCAGCCTCATCCGTTTATTCATGAACATGTCCTCTGGCACTTACTCATCCCTCCAGCCTAATTACACTGCTATACACAGAGGAGGAGGCAAGGGACCAGGCAAGGAACCCTTGTCCTCCTAGAGCTTACACTCTACCTGGGAAGACAAGCAGTCAACACGGTTACTATTAATCTACTATTGTGGATGAAATACACTGAGGCTAGGAGTGACTGGGACGGGGGTGGCCTGCTTTCCACAGAGCAGCCCAGGAAGGTGACATGTGATGTGGGACCTGTAAAGGATTTAACAAGCCTTTCGGCTGACAAGTTAGGCAAAGAGCAAGCCAGGCACAGAGAAATTTAGAGGCTGAGACAGCATCAGCCCCTTCTGGGCCAGAAGCAGGCAGCAGCTGAGTGGCTCAAGTGTCACAGGAGGGTGATCCACGGCGCCACACGCGCACTAGCAGGAGCCCGGTCATCATGGTCATGTGCACGCGGGGAGGAAAGGTTTGGAATTTATTCCAAGGTCAACAGGTCAGGTTTCAAGGAAGGGTCAGTCATAGGCTGATTTTCAGTTTTAAATGTGGAAAATGGTCTGGTGTTGGCAAAGCGGGAAGCCATTCAGGAGGCTCTCGCCGTAGGCCAGGCAAGAACGCAGAAAAGCCTGGGGTGCCGTAAAAAGCAGATGAGTGCACAGATACAGTACAGATGCTGGAAGCAAAGCCAGTGAGATTCCGGGACGAACTGGATGTGAAGGCCAGATAGGACTCCGGGCTGACTCCTACACAGGAGGATGTTCTCCCTTCTGATGACATCCAGGCTTTTCCACTTCCATGCCCTACCTCGGGCCTTTTGCACCTGATGTTTCCTCTGCACACAACACACACCTGCATTTCCATCGGTATCTGCTCAGAAGTCTCCCCATCATCCCATAGAACAAAGCTCCCTTACCCCGTCACTCTCTCCTTACCTCACCTCATTCATCTTCAGAGCGTATAGCCTGACTTAGGTCGCTTTGTCTCTGAGTCCCCCAGTAGAATTTAAGCTCTATGAGGGCAAGGGCTTGGTCTACCATGTCAATCTTAGAGTAAAAATGTCGTATCTTTAAAGAATTACTGAGAAAACAAAGGGATGAGCAAGTGACTGAAAGAAATGTTTTGTTGCTACAGATCTGGTTTATGGACAGCTGTTTAGCTACTTCTAGCTCATGGCTGGTCCTCATCATCACACAGAAGAGCTCTGCTGTAGACCTCACTAGAGTTCAACCTTGAATTATTAGGTGCCAGTTAATTTTACAAGCCTGCATGAAAACTAGAGAGAAGGGATGTGACATTTCTTTTGCATTTTCAAAGCATTCTCCCTGTATCAAGCTCTATCATGGTATAACCAGCCTGTACAATGGAACTATTCCTAAAAAGATCAGTATTAGGTTCTCAGCTTTTATCTATGGGCAACCTATTTTTAAAGCCTTGTAAAATTTTCTATGCCTTTGAAAACATTATTATAGAAGGGACACCACACAACAATGACCTTGACATCAAATTCCTCAAAGATTAAGGCTGAAAGAAAAGTCTGCCCTTCTGGGAAACTCATATGTTCCATGGTTCCCTCCTACTAGACAATGAGAATAACTCCTACTGTTTTCTAATTTTTTCCTGACTGCTAGGAACCTGTGGTACATTTAGGGTACAATTGCAATAAATTATCCTCAGCATAAATCCCTCATATAGTTACCTCTTTCTGTAAATTATGCAGCTTTTTGTTATTTAACATTTCTTTTACATATTGACCTTGTAAGTTGCCTAAAATTCTTTCTCAAAGTGAATGTCATAAGTAAGTAACGAGAAATCTTGAACCTGGATAGCAGAGAACCAAGATTCCAGACCTGCCTCTTTCATAACAACTAGATGATCATGTAGGTCATTTATACCTCTAATGATCACTTTTAACATCCTAAGAAACAGAGATTAAATGTCTCCAGTAATTTCTTAAGTCCAAACGTTTGTAATGACAGAGCTAAGACTTCTTGATGTGTTGAGGAAGAGGCATAGTTTTCAATAGTTTGCATCCAAAAAGAACACCTACTAGGTGACAAAATCCATTCCTAACTCATCACACCATTATTTTGTCTACCCCATATTTATTAGCTAATTGTCACTTAAATTTAACTTTTGGTTACCTCTTCAAGCCGTGCTCTTGTGGAGAACTGACTTGTTGTTCCGATTACCATATAGGTTAGGGAAGATGAGCCAAGTTCAAACCTGCAAATGGAAATTGTCAAGATGTATCATAAAATATTTATTCATTCGACATGTGTTTTTATGTGCCTTGTGCACGTTACAGCATTTAACTAGAAACTGCTCAGGCATGAAAAATCCATGACATGAGCCCTACCCTCCAATGCGTTAAGATGTAGTTGTTAAAAAAAAAAAAAAATACACCAACCACTGAATAAATGATTCAGTACCCAAAAGAAAGCGGTAGAGGCTTAGTAAGTGCTACAAGCGCAAGGCAAAGGCAGGTGCGAGCAAGCAGAGGTGGTAAACCACCATGTGGGGTGAGCTATGCACAGGAGGTCTTCAAATGGGTCTGCGGGTGCGGAAGAGGATTCTTCCAGATAGACTGAACAGCTGGCCACCCAGATTCATGAGTTAGCGCTAAATTTCAGTTCGCTATTTTCAGAACAGTTTTTTTTTTTTTTTTTTTTAAGATTTTATTTATTTATTTGACAGAGAAAGGCACAGCGAGAGAGGGAACACAAGCAGGGGGAGTGGGAGAGGGAGAAGCAGGCTTCCCACCGAGCGGGGAGCCCGATGCAGGGCTCAATCCCAGGACCCCGGGATCATGACCTGAGCCGAAGGCAGTCGCTTAACCGACTGAGCCACCCAGGCGCCCCGAATTCAGAACAGTTTTTTAAGGACCTCTACTTGCTACCTTCAATTAAAAAACCCCCTCTAGACGATCACCGTTGTTTTACAAGCAAAGCTAAAACACAGGCAGGTTCGTGGACCTTTGTAATCACAGCACAGTTTCTGGCACTACTCACTTTTCTATCAGTTTATCCCAATTTTCCCTCAGAAACTGCCAGGCCAGTCGATATCCCACCGGGTTCCTACCAACAGCTCCAAGAATATGTGGAAACTCTTGAATTTTTATTACATCTCCCTTAAAACCTTCATCTAGTAGCCTAGAATGATTAAGAGAAGAAATGTTAACAATAGAGAGTCCCTGGAAAAGTTAGGAATTACTTCAATAAAATAATGTGTGAAAGAAAAAAGCCCATCTGTCAATAATAAACACAAGATAAATAGGTGACCAGAGCACTAATAAAGTTGGTATAGCTACATAATAAAAACATTTAGTGTTTACAACTCCCATTCTCATATGGTCTCTTGTTTGTTCATAAGAGAAAATAGGTAAGAAAGGCCTATGTCGTATGTATTTCTAAACGTGTTATTTTAAAGAGACACAAACATATATTCCTTTAAATATTTTTCCTAACACCTGCTTCTCCCCTGATTAATTACCGTACTGATTAGATGTATGCCCGCTTGAATAAATATTCCCAGCAGTAAAGGCAATTCCCAGCCAAGAGAACAAAAAGAGATGTCGGAAGGATCTGAGTTCATCTAATTCCTCTTGGCCACATGAACATGAACAAATTACTCACCACTGAAGCTTGTCCTCATCCTGACTAATACTGAGGGCAAATTCAATTTTTTTTTTCTCGGAAGTAGACAAAGATGACTGATACTTTCTATAAAGAAAATCCCATCCTTCAGGGTTTTGGACCCCCACAGCAAACACTGCCAAGGTCACGTCGTTGGGCAGGCTGTGGAAAAGAACATCGCTGGTGAGAGTCTGAGATGCAGGAAGTGTGTTTGGATGTAGAGTGGTGACCAATGACAAACTGATAAACTGGCCCACTGATCAGAGCAACATGCCCGGAAATATAAACAAAAATCCGCTCTTTCCTTCAGTTAGATTTTATGAGAGAAACAGAAGGAAGTATCTACAATTAGGTTTTAAGTACCCTTCTCAAAAACAATGTGAAAAGCCACTTGGATAAATACCTATGTATCTAACATAATGATGCTGGGTAACTGGACAGATGATCACTTCTTAAGCCAAAAGAAAGAAATTCAAACTAGACTCAATATGTAGTCCATGAACAAAAGTCAGGAATCCAATAGGACCACTGTTTGGAGGCATTTCTTTAAATGGAACCATATAGATTGTTGGCTTACTATTTCCTAGAGAGATTCAAGCCCCAAATATTAAAGCCCAAGAATAAATTCCAAATACAGGAAGAGCCTACCTAGCTTTGACAATATCAGCAACTACTGGACACACCTCATCAGGGACTTTGGAGGCCCAAAGAAACTCCTACTATGGCATGTACTGCTTCTGTTCCTATCCAGGACAGCGGTTTCAGTTCTGAGCCTTACCTCTATCCGATGGAAATTATTCTAATTCTATTTTAACTCTCCAGATAATTGACTTTTATATAGAGACGTTCCCTCCTAGCAGTTCTTAAAACAGAAAGTTGAGAGATACATAGAAAAATCTTAAAAAGCAATTTATTTTCCCAAAAAGTACAGCAGGGGAGGTTTGCTTCTACTTGTTTTCTCTCCCAACATTTAGCACTGATGAGGAAAAACAGAACAGAGAACCTTTATAGAACTAACCGGTGGTTCAGTAAGCACACACCTCAAATTTCCGTCGGCTTCCTTCCACTCTCTGAAGTAGGCTTCTGCCCTCTGCACGCAGGGCTGATACTTGCGCACACATGCAAGGAGCAGCAGCTGACTCCGCAGCATGCGCTGGGAGACTGAGCCCTCATCTGTCCACGTCTGACTATCAATGAGGTCTCTCAGCAGCCGCAGGAGAAAGGCCTGCGGGGAAAGCCACACGCGTCACCAGTCCCGTCCCCAGCCATCTCGGCTTTTAGAGGAGCCGATATATCCTCAGGTGGTGGGGATTCATTTTTAAAGTTTGATCCAACTTTTTTTTAAAACCACGCAATTCTGTTTACATTTAATTATAAAAGGGGTCAAAAACAAGAAAATAATGATTTTTACTATTTGCATAAAATCTCTTTTTACTTTTTGTTTATGTTATGTGAATCACCATACATGACATCATTAGTTTTTGATGTCGTGTTCCATGATTCATTGTTTGCGTATAACACCCAGTGCTCCATGCAGAACGTGCCCTCTTTAATACCCATCACCAGGCTAACCAATCCCCCACCCCCCTCCCCTCTAGAACCCTCAGTTTGTTTCTCAGAATCCACAGTCTCTCATGGTTCGTCTCCCCCTCCAAATTCCCCCCCCTTCAGTAAAGTGGCAGGATATAAAATCAATGCACAGAAATCAGTGGCATTCCTATACACCACCACCAAGACAGAAGAAAGAGAAATTAAGCAGTCGATCCCATTTATAATTGCACCCAAAACCATAAGATACCTAGGAACAAATCTAACCAAAGAGGCAAAGAATCTGTACTCAGAAAACTATAAAATACTCATGAAAGAAATTGAGGAAGACACAAAGAAATGGAAAAACGTTCCATCCTCATGGATTGGAAGAACAAATATTGTTAAAATGTCTATGCTACCTAGAACAAGCTACACATTTAATGCAATCCCCATCAAAATACCATCAACTTTTTTCAAAGAAATGCCTAACAATCTTTTATAAATATACCTTTCTATATTTAAAAACCACGATGAACTGCCACTTTTGAAACAAACTAAGTTTATAGAACTAAATTTTGAGAGCAAATTATACAACAGGACTTCATAACATTTTGCCAAAAATAACGATTTTTGTGCCTCTTCCTCAAGTACCTGAGTCATGGAGTATCTTAAGAGTAACCATCAAAACAAGATACCACCTCACACCAGTCAGAATGGCTAAAATTAAACAAGTCAGGAAACAACAGATGTTGTCGAGGATGTGGAGAAAGGTGAACCCTCTTACACCATTGCTGGGAATGCAAGCTGGTGCCGCCACTCTGGAAAACAGTATGGAGATTCCTCAAAAAGTTAAAAATAGAGCTACCCTATGACCCAGCAATTGCACTACTGGGTATTTATCCAAAGGATGCAGAAAGAGTGATTCTAAGGGGCATCTGCACCCCAGTATTTATAGCAGCAATGTCCACAATAGCAAAAATATGGGAAAGAGCCCAAATGTCCATTGACAGATGAATGGATAAAGAAGGTATGGTGTGTGTGTGTGTGTATATATTTCTTTAAATGGAACCATATAGATTGTTGGCTTACTATTTCCTAGAGAGATTCAAGCCCCAAATATTAAAGTCCATGCCCGGACTTTAATATATATAAATATAAAAAATATATTAATATATATATGTATATATATAAATATATATATATATACACACAATGGATTACTCAGCCATCAGAAAGAATGAAACCTTGCATTTGCAATGATATGGATCCAACTAGAGGGTATTATGGTAAGCAAAATAAGTCAAAGAAAGAAATACTATATGATTTCACTCATATGTGGAATTTAAGAAACAAAACAGATGAGCATATGGGAAGGGAAGGAAAAATAAGAAAAACAGGGAGGCAAACCATAAAAGACTTAACTACAGGGAACAAACTGAGGGTTGCTAGAGGAGAGGGGGGTCAGGGATGGGGTTACTGGGTGATGGATATTAAGGAGGGCACATGATATAATGAGCAGTGGGTGTTAAATGGCACTAAATTCTACCCCTGAAACTAATAATCCATTATATGTTAACTTGAATAAAATATAATAAAAATTAAATAGTAACCATCCAAAGACAAAATGAAATAAAGGATTTGCAAAAAGAAGGGAATAACAAATCCGTAAAATTTAAGTACAGATTCTTAGAGTGCTGTGTCTTTAGTGTTGGAATGAAACCCAAATCTTTGCTATTTAATCCAAATACTAATTCTGATGTACTTTTAATATATATGAGGACATACATATATACATAATGGTAAGGATGCTTTCCCACACCCACACAAAAGCAAACCAGTATGTAACTATTCAGTTTATGAAGGCTTCTACCTTGAATTGATTTTCCACTTCACTCATATCTCTTTTCTCCATCAATTTATACATAGGTATCAGCTCACTCAAACCTTGGAACACTGGCATAATTTCAGTTTCACGTTTCAAGTACAGGGTTAAATCCAAGGCTTTTTCAATTGATAGCTTTCCATTGCTGGTCAAGAGATACCATGGTTAGCAGTTTAAACAAAAACCAGGAAATCAACTTTTTGTTTCAAAAGATATTTTAATCTCCCAGCAAAACATTCAATCAGATATAAATGCCCTCCTTATCAACAGTGACCTTTATATAAGTATCTTTTCTTTCACATATAACACTGGCTTATTTACCACTGTGAGGGAATTTTCTTGAATAATAATAGAGTCAATGCTAAGTTGTGATGAAGACAAAACGGAGACAGGTCAGCATCCGTCCCTCTAAGAAACAACAGACTGGGTACTCAACGTCCAGAGTAAGATGGTGATTTTTATCAAAATCAATAATGTTGGTCAGAGAGACTGCCACCCAATCAAAAGTCTGAGTGTCTGGATTAAACACATTCTGTCTCCATTTCAGAAAGAAAGTGAATATAGATTAAAAAATCTTTCATTATGAAATAAAAAATCTTAAAACAAAAACAAAAAAAACCCTTCATTATGGAGGGCAGGTGTTCAAAGTCTCAGTGGCAGGGTATATGCTGAGTTAAGTACAAAACCCTACAAGAAATAAGCAATACTATTACAAAGGGAAATAGTCTCAGGTAGGCAGAAACAACTGGATAAACCACTTCTATCCTTATCCCCCATTGCCTTTTGCCACCCTGAGAGGTCCAGCAAATGAAGAACCCAACATTTAGAACAAAGGGACATGGGAAATGAGGAGAATTATAGAATCATTTCTTCCCACCTGGGTCACTCCCCTGGGGACTGCAGCTCTGCCTAAATACTGAAAAATTTTGAGTTCCAGGCTTGGGAACCATTTCCTTAAAAACCACTGGCATAAGGCAAAAAAATTAGAGTGAACACTGTCCTCAACAACTCAAACACCATGTGGTTGGGCCACATTTTCTAAGCTCTATTCCATAAAGCTTCCATTAAATTCAGTATGGAAGTATGGGGGGAGAAATCCTTTAACCCAAGAGACAAAATGCAAACAACTGGGTACTGAGCCACGTGGTCTTCTAAGAAGTCTTCAAAAATGTGAAAGACCCAGCAGGGCAGAAACCTCCTGAGCTTTAGGATGGCCAGAAAAACTACAGGACAAGCTTTAGGGATGAGGGGCTTCTCCACAAGGTTGGTCTCCTGGTTTTCTGTACTTCTGCATCGGTCTGACCTAAGTTGTTAGTAAGATTAAAATACAGATTACCTGCTTTAGCTTACTCTGCAGACACAGACACGTGGTTAATTCTAAGACTGAAAGCAACCTTGGAATTTATGAAGAACTTAGGGGAAAACACCCTTCAGCTTCTTACTAGCAAGTAATCATTTTCATCTTTAGAAATCAAGCGTTTGAATGTTAACAGCTGCTTTCAGAAATAAACCAAGACCTTGAGGAGTATTACCTGACGAGCTGGAATGCATTGTTGATGAGACTGGCCCGGTCATTGCTGCTGATTGTTGTGTGTGCGCCTTTTAAAAGGCCAGTCAGAGAATCCCATCCATCATCCTCATAATGCACAATGTAATAACCATTCATTCCAACATTAAATTTGATCCATTCTACCTCTTCTGGAAGGATGAGCTCATCTAGAGCAAATACAATAAATCATAGCTCCATTTTCTCTCTTGACTGATGAAAGCTTTTCTGATCAGAGACTGGACAAAGAAACTAAAGGCAAGTTTAATATTGAACAATTTTAATACTGAAATGAGTTTCATATTGAACACATTTCTTTTAGAAACCAGAAAAGTCCATTCCAATAGGCAAAAGCCAGCACCAGCTTTAGATGCCAATTTTTTGAGATTTATAGATTGAGGAGAAGAATACAGCCACATTTCAGGCCATACATATGACATGATCCAGCAGGGTTAGCAAAAGAAGGGGGAATTTTCATTAGTAATCCCTCCTTCTTAGTATTATAGAACTCAGCTGCTTTAATCTCTATCTGGCAAGACACTGGCTTTCTTTTTTTGCCACCAGAGACAACTTCTATCTTCACTAGAAATTGAAAGCCAACAATTCGCGGAATATAAAGGTTGACCTGATCCTTCTGTTTTAACCATGATAAATAGTAAAACAACCTTAGTAACTAAGTCTTACATATTTGCAGTTTCTTCTGGACTTAACCTAGTTATTTCTATGGTAAGTTACCTGTTTTTGTCTTCAGCAAAAATCTTTGAACTGAGTCTGATTTGCTGGTAATGAAGGTCAATGGAACATGCCACACGTACCTTAAAGAAAGGACAGATTATTTGTTGAGTCTCTCCAACAAACAGTTATTAAATCATCCATCATATACCAGACCCAGGCTAGTTTAAATGATGGTACCAAAACTACTATAGCCAAGAGGTCAAGATGTCACTAGCCTATTTTCCAGCTTTGCAAGGGGCGTCAGCTCAAGCACTATTCATTCTTCTCAGACTTCTTCAGTAGAGCTGGGAATTTGGGTTCCAGTGAACCCTGGCATCCTCTGCAGAGGTTGGCTGATTGGAACTCGGAGGTCCTACCTTAAAGACCTTGGCCTATAAATGGCACAAATTGACATCATGTGACTTCTACATCATTTGTTAAGAATAGAGTAACACTTCAGTGGAATTCCTGTCAATCTCATCGTGAAGAAACTGAATTTCATCATGAAGAAACAGCAGAAAACAAAAACTGGAGGACATCCTATCAATAAAAAACAAACTGGCCTGTGCTCTTCAAAAATGTCAAGGACGAAGAAAAATATTGAGGAACTGTTTCAAGAAAAAAAGAAAAAAATACAACTGAACGTATGTGACAATACAATGTGAGCCTATACTTAATCCTGAACCAGAATGGTTTTTTTTCTTTTGCTATAAAGAGGTTATTAGGAAAACTGGAAAAGTTAAATCAGGTTTATAGATCAAAGTTATTAGATCAATTTCATTTCATAATTTTGATAATTATACTATGCTTACATAAGTGAATGTTCTTGTTTTTTATGGAAATATCACACTGAACTATTTCAGGGTACAGGACATCAGGTTTCCAACTTACTTGCAGTTAAAAAAAACTATGCTACTGTGGATCCAGGAGGGCAGCATAGGAGGACATCGAACTCCTCTCCTCCTCTGGATACACCAAATCTATACCTACATATAGAGCAATTCCTCCTGAGGAAGAACTGAGGGCTGACTGAATAGCTTCTGCACAACAAATGATAGAGGGACCACACAGAGAAGGCAAAGACAGAGACAGGATAACAACAGGAATCCCATCCCAACGCAGTGAGGGAGGGCTATTACCGAAGGCCCCGCATGCAGACTTGCCCACCCTGGGATGTGATGAATAAATAGCAATGTAAAGGATAACTAAATTATCAGTGAAGGAAATCCACTAACTCTAGATCATCCACCAAACAGTGGGTAAACCGCTAGAACTCTCTCTGCAGTCGTAGGCACTGGTGAGCACCATTGTGTACGTTCTCCCCCCACCAGGATATTGTGGACAGGAGCAGGGTTCAGTCACTCTAGCCAGCTGCGTAGGGCCACCCCAGCCCATCCAAGACCCCTAGCCCACACCAGCTCCAGTCGTCCTGCCACGATGGCCCCAGCAGAGTGCTCTGGGACCCTCCTGGCTTATACCCAGTCAAGCCCCAGCCATCCTACCACGGCAGCCTTGTTCCAGGACAACCCAGGACCCTGTGGGCCGCACCTGTTCCCACTCCAGCTCTAGACATCCTACTAGGGCAGCATCTCCTCCAACTCCCGCTGTTTCTCCAGAGTGGCCCAGGGAAGGAGTGCCTCAGAGCTCCCCAGTCCATGTGCACTCCAGCTCTAGCTGTCTCACCAGGGCAGCTCCAGCACAGTGTTTGGGAATCCTGGGCCCATGCCCTCTCTGGCTCCAGCCATCTCACCAGGACAGCCTTGGTGCATTTTGCCCTGGGGCATTTCCCCCCATCCACTCCAGCTTCAGCTGGACAGCCAAAGCCACAAGGCACACACAACCTATGCAGGTTACACAGAAATAGACCTATGAAGTCAAACAAACTAGGGACACCAAGGATTATATTCCCAACAAAAGAAAATGAAAAAATCCCAGGGGGAAAAAAAAAACACCTAATGAAACAGGTAAGTAATTTACCTGATAAAGAGTTCAAAATAATGGTCATAAAGATGTTCACTGAACTAAAATGGAAGAATACAGTGAGAACTTCAATAAAGAGTTAGAAAATTTAAGTACCAAATAGACGTCACAGAGCTGAATAATAAGAAAAATACAATACAAGCCATCAGCAGATTGGATGATACAGAACAGATCAATAATCTAGAAGACTGAACAGTGGAAATCACCCAATCAGAATAGCAAAAAGAAAACAAAAATGAGAACAGTATATAAGGGACCTCTGATCAAACGGCAAGTGACATTCACATTCACATTATAATGGTCCCAGAAGAAGAGGGAAGAAAGGGGCAGAAAACTTAAAGAAATAATGGTTGAAAACTTTACTAACCTGGGGAAGGAAATAAACATACAGGCCCCCAAAGCACAGAAACTCCCAAGCAAGAGAAATCCAAAGAGATTCACACCACGACATATTTCAGTTACAATGTCAACAATTGAAGAGAAAATCTTAAAGGCAGCAAAAGAAATACAAACTCACATACAAGAGAAACCCTAAGACTATCAGCTTAGTCTTCAGCAAAAACTCTGCAGACAAAAAGGAGTAGCAGAATATATTTAAAGTGCTGAAAGGGACAAACTTAATACCAAGAATAACCTACCCGGCAAGGTTATTATTCGGAAGAGAAGGAAAGATAGAGTTTCCAGTATAAGCAAAAGATAAAGGAGTTCGTGACCACAAACCAGCCTTACAAGAAATGTTAAGGAATCTTAAGAGGAAAAGAAAAGGCCACAATAGAAATAAGAAAAAGAGAACTACAGACCAGTATCTCTCATGAATATAGATGCAAAAATCCTTAACAAGGTATTAGCCAACTGAATCCAACAATACATTAAAAAAAAAAAATCATACGCCACAATCAAGCCAGATTTATTCCCAGGACGCAAAGGTGGCTCAGTCTCTCTCTCTCTCTCTCTCTCTCTCACATACACACACACACACACACACACACACACACACACACAGAATCAACATGAAACATCACATCAATAAGAAAAAGGATAAACTATAGGATCATTTCAAAGATGCAGAAAAAGCACTGGACAAAGTACAACATCCATTCATGATAAAAACCCTCTGCAAAGTAGGTCTAGAGGAAACATACCTCAACATAATAAGGGCCTTATATGCAAACCCACAACCAACATTGTACTCAATGGTGAAAAACGGAGTGCTTGTCCCCTAAGGTCAGGAACAAGAGAAGGAGATCACTCTCACCACTTTTAATCAACATAGTACTGGAAGTCCTAGCCATAGCAATCAGAAAACATAAAAAAAAATAATAAAGGCATCCAAATTGGCAAGGAAGAAATAAAATTCTCATTATTTGCAGATGACACGATACCATACATAGAAAATTCTCAAGGGTCCATTGAAAAACTACTAGAACTGATATCTGAGTCTAGTGAGGTCGTGGGACACAAAAATCAATGTACAGAAATCTGTTGCCTTCCTATACACTAATAATGAAACAACCGAACATGAAATTAACAATCCCACTTGCAATTGTACCAGACACAATAAAGTATCTAGGAATAAACTTAATCTAACAGGTGAAAGACCTATATTCTGAAAACTATAAAACACTGATGAAAGAAATTCAAGACGACACAAAGAAATGGAAGGACATTCCATGCTCATGGAATGGAAGAACAAATACGGTTAAAATGTCTATGGCACACAAAGCAATCTACAGATTTAACACAATTCCTATCAAAACACCAACAGCATTTTTCACAGAACTTGAACAAACAGTCCTAAAATGTGTATGGAGCCACAAAAGACCTCAAATAGCCAAAGCAATCTTGAAAAAGAAAAACAAAACTGGAGGTATCACAATGCCAGATTTTAAGTTATATTACAAAATGGTAGTAATTAAAACCATATGGTACTGGCCTAAGAACAGACACACAGATCAATAGAACAGAATAGAAAACCCAGAAATAAACCCATGATCATATGCTTAATTAATCTTCGACAAGAGAGGAATGAGTAAACAATGCGAAAAGGGCTCTTCAACAAATGGTGTTGGCAAACTGGACAGCTACATGCAAAAGAATGAAACCATACCACTTTCTTTCACCATACACTAAAATAAACTCAAAATGGATTAAAGACCTAAATGCGAGTCCTGAAACCATAAAAGTCCTTGAAGAGAGCACAGGCAGTAAGGTCTCTAATATCGGCTGTAGCAACTTCTTTCTAGATAGGTCTCTTAAGGTAAAGAAAATAAAAGCAAAAATAAACTATTGAGACTACGTCAAAATAAAAAGCTTCTGCACAGGAAAGGAAACAACCAACAAAGCTAAAATGCAACCTGTGGAATGGTAGGAGATATTTGCAAATGATGTATCCAATAAAGGGTATCCAAAATATATAGAACTTATCAAACTCAACAGCCAAAAAACAAATAATCCAATTAAAAAATGGAGAGAAGCCATGAACAGACATTTCTCCAAAGAAGACATCCATATGGCCAACAGACACATGAAAAAATGCTTGACATCACTTACCAGGGAAATGCAAATCAAAACTACAATGAGATATCACCTCACACCTGTCAGAATGGCTAAAGTCAAAAACACAAGAAACAAGTGTTGGTGAGGATGTGGAGAAAGGGGAACCCTCGTGCACTGGTGGTGGGAATGCAAACTGGGGCAGCAACTCGGAAAACAGTGTGGAGGTTCCTCAAAACATTAAAAATAGAACTACCCCTATGATGCAGCAACCGCACTACTGGGTACCTACCCAAGGAATATGAAGACACTAATTCAAAGGGATACATGCACCGCAATGTTTATAGCAGCATTATTTATAATAGTCAAATTATGGAAACAGCCCAAGTAGCCATCAATAGATGAATGGATAAAGATATGGTATATATAATGAATATTACTCAGCCATAAAAAATGAAGTCTTGCCATTTGCAACGACATGGATAGAACTAGAGAGTATAATGCTAAGCGAAGTAAGTCAGAGAAAGACGAAAATATCGTATGATCTCATGCATATGTGGAATTTAAGAAATAAAACAAACAAGGACAAAGAGAGAAACCAGGAAACAGAAACAGACTCTTAACTATAGAGAACAAACTGATGGTTACCAGAGGGGAGGTGGGTGGGAGGGGATGGGTGAAATAGGTGATGGGGATTCAAGAGTACAGTTATCATGATGAAAAGAAAATAAAGTAATAAAAATAACAAGTATAGGTAAGAATGCTGAGGAAATGGGAAGCTCCATTTTCCTGATGGTGAGAGTGTAAATTGGTGCAGTCACTATCATAAATAGTATGTAGGTTGCTCAAAAAATTAAAAATAGAACTAAACTATGATCCAGGAATCCTACTTCTGGGTATTTATTCAAAGAAAGAGAAAACACTCATCTGAAGAGATACATGCACCTGTATGTTCACTGCAGCATTAACTATAGCAAGATATGGAAGCAACCTAAGTGTCCACTAATAAATGGATAAAAAGTTGTATATATACACATACGTACATACACACACAATGGAGTATTAACCATAAAAAAGAATGAAATCTTCCCATTTGCAACAGAGATGGACCTCAAGGATATTATGCTAAGTGAAAGAAGTCCTACAGATAAAGACAAATACCGTATGATTTCACCTATACGTGTAATCTGAAAAACAAAACAAAGACTCAAATAAAGAAAACAGACGGTTGGTTATGGGGGGTGATGCAGGGCAGTGGGGGGGGAGTGAAATAGGTAAAGGAGATTAAAAAATACAAACTAGTTTTAAAATAAATAAGTCATGAGATGTACAGTGTAAGGAATACAGTCAATAGTATTGTAATAACTTTAGTGACAGATGGTAATAAGACTTATCGTTGGTATTTTGCAATGTATAAATATACTGAATCAGTATGATGTATATCTGAAATAGGACACTGTCAATTATAATAATATACATGTTATATAGAGAGGATACAAAAAGATAAAGAGCATATTTTTAACTGATATTTTGGATTTTACATGGAAAGGTTCTATTTTAGGTTTTATATACATATTTCAGGTTAGATGTAAAGAGAGAAGGGGAGGGAGGGGGAGAGAGAATGATAAAGCAAATGTGGTAAAGAGTTAACATGTGGGGCGCCTGGGTGGCTCAGTCGTTAAGCATCTGCCTTGGCTCAGATCATGATCCCAGAGTCCTGGGATCGAGCCCCGCATCGAGCCCCGCATCGGGCTCCCTGCTCAGCGGGGAGCTGCTTCTCCCTCAGGCCCTGCTGCTCCCCCTGCTTGTGCTCTGTCAAATAAATAAATAAAATCTTAAAAAAAAAAAAAGTTAACATATGTGTATCTGGGTAAAGAATACACGAGCATTCTTTGTGCTCTTCTTGCAGCTTCTCTGTAAGTCTGAAAGTATTTCAAAAACAAATTTTTTTTTTTTAAGTACTGTCCATCTAGGGTCAGTCAAGGTGTACTATCTCCTTTCCAGTGATGTCCTTCTGGAGTGTTAAAACCAACAAACAGGCTCCAGGATCTAATGTAGACTTCCAAAACACAGGCTCTCCTAATCCCCAGAAACCACCTGAACGTTTATGTCCTCAGCTCCAACCCAAATGCCAGGCACTATCGGCATTTAGTGGCAGTTGCTTAGTTTAGAGCTGTTTCCAGTCAGTAACCGGAATTACCATCCCATCAAACTACAGAACACGGGAATGTTAAAATACTGATACATTATCAACTTTACTGAGATGAACCAAGGTTGAAAGCCACATTTATCCTCTTGGGAAGATGGTGGTGTGTAACTCGACTTCACAGGATACAGAGATTTAACTGAAATATTTTAGCGGTCAAGACAAGAGCAGTCTGAAAAATACAGTTTCCCTGCACAAGGCAGGTGTTACGGAGGCAACAGCCCCAAGTTTTCCACCCTGAACGTTACCCGGTTTCTGAGGCGTCCTCGGGTGCTTTCCTGTAGTGCTCCTGCCTCATGTGCACGTTCCTCCCCCTCACCGTGACCGTTATCAGGGGAAAGCCCTTCTGCAGCGTCCACGTGTTCATCATGGTTTTCACATCAAGGCCCTCCTGTCGCCAGTGCTGATCCAGACAGAAAACAGATCCGTGAGCACTCGCCCAACGCTGGAGAGCCCAGGCTTGCGCTCATGGGGCGGCTACCTGTTGACAACCCCTGACCCCTTGCTCTGCTCGCCAGCCCCTGCCCACCTCCCTTCCCCACACCGCGCGCTGCCGTGGCCTTCCTGTCCAAGCGCGGACTGCTTGCTTTTCCGTTCTCTTCCTCTACCCACAGGTACAGGTCACGGCTTACGAGCAGGTACTGTGTCCGGTTCTACTGGGCATCCCTTGGGCTTGGCTCGCTGCACCCAGCAATGCTGGCTCAGACAAGCAAGGTGGGAAAAAATGTTCAGCCACTAGCCTGTGCTTCCCAGGTGCTAACATCAAGATGGTCCACACTCAGCAGTTGTAAACTCAAAAGCCGATACATTCTTCGATACTAAAAAAGCTTCTAAGGATATTTAAGAGCCAAAGGATAAAATACACTACATAACAAATCCACTGTACCCCTGAAACAAATAATGCATTTGTTTTATAAAAATGAATATGAATAAATAAAAATAAAATAAAAATGAATAAAAATAAAGATAAAATTCACACTGGAAAAAAAAAATGTTCACAAAAGGCAAAACAAACAAAAAAAAAACCCCCTAGAAATCACGGAGTAAAGTGATCTCTAAAAACCAAAAAGCTCCCAAAAATGAAAATATGGTGAATAAAATTTAGCTGAATCTCTAGACTCAACCTCCACTGCCTATGAAAATACTCCACAAGTCCAGATAAACAGACTCACGTTGTTTTGGGACTCAAATATTATGAATTCTTTATAGCTTAGCAGTTAAAAACATGAGTTAGATCTAAATTCAATCCCCACACTGCAATTTACTCAACATATGCTTTTGGATTTCACATTCCCATCTGTTAAGCTAAGAAGTACCCTGCTCACAGGTTTACCCTGAGACGTAAAGGAGTCAAGTGCTTAGCACATGCCTGACACGTAGTAAGTGCTCAAGGATGCCTGCTGCCCCTATTTGTTTTTTCCACAGATGAAGAGATATGGAAAGGACCCACGTGGCCTGACGGATAAAGCCCCAGTCTACCACAGAAACAGGTCATAAATTCACTGCTTTCCAGAGAACGAAGCTGAACAAATTAGTACCAGTGATATGTGTTACCCACAAAGGTTATGCAACTCCCTTGCGTAGACAGCTTTTAAGAGAAACTGTAAAAAGACTGTCAGTCAGCTACAGTTTAAGCACAATCTTATGTGGAGTTAGAGTGATATAATGAAGGACTTCAGAGAGGTTGGCCCAGAGGTTTCCTTCAAAGAATACGGCATAAACATATGAGCTTTGGGGTACGACATACAGCTGTAAAAACTTACTGAGGCTGAAGATGAATGTGGACCCCTGGAGCAAAAGCCATCCGTCCTTTCTGTGCCATCTGTAGGGCAAATCTAAAAACCAAAACCAAACGTGTTATTCTTGGTTCTCTAGAGAACACTCAGGATTCTTCTCAGAGGGATTAATAAGGTGTAGGAAAAAAACCACCAACCACAATATGGTAATAAGCCTGGTGATCCCCAACGCAGATATAAACAAAACCATACTCACACTTGCCATACTATTCCACAGGTCCTCATTCCTTGTGTTTTTGTAACTGTACTTCTGGAGATACTGTACAATACCGCTTTTAAATACGTCGGCACCGAGATAATCCCTTAGCATATTCAGAATACAAGCTCCCTGAAAAGACAACGTAGGTAACTGTTACTTTAACCATCATCTAATCTGCCGCCACACTTTTATTTTGGAGGAATTCTTTCAAAATGCAACTGCGGTAACATTTTCAAAGTCTGGTGATTTGTGACACAATTAAAGAAAGTGGGTTTACAGAAAAAAAATTTTTTCAAAGAAGTGGGTAAACCTGGCCCTGTCTAGGCAAGGGATTGAATGGGATTGTTTCTCTTCTTAGTCCCTTAGGGCCATCATTTTCTAACAGCAACCAAGCCTCCCCACAGGGCCAATGACCACCACTGCCCATTATCCACAGGGCAGGGCACAGTGGTGCTGAACCAACACTTGGTACCACGTCCTGCCTTCCCTGGGGCCGCTCTGGAGCGGCAGTGGGGAAAGTAACTCCAACAAGAGATGGAAGCGGAGGTACTGGTTAAGGAACGGGGGAGGGCAGGCAGCCCGGAGCAGAGAGGGCCAGAGGAACACAGGGAAAAGGAGCAAGAGAAGACTCGAGACCCTGTATTCCTGTGTGAAGAGTCTTTTCCCCTCCACCCTCACGACTATAGCTCCCTTTTCACATGCAAAAATATTGACCATGTAGGTGTGGGTTTATTTCTGGGCTCGCTCAGCTGTTCCACTGAGCTAGGCCTCTGTAGGTCTGTTTTTACCTCCCCTGCACTGCTGATGAAAACATCGAAGAAATACTCTTCTGTTTACTACAAATAAATCGGCCAAATAAAATGATAAATGACATTCTCTGCCTTGTTGAAGACAGTAGAATGGTTGGGAATGGAAAGACAATTGGGAAAGCAGAAGCTTGATCTCACGAAGGAGGAACTAGGACTTTAGCTCTGGCTTGTATTGCTGAGGGAAATACACAGGCCCCCTGTCACCAGTGTGACTGGAATGCTTTCCTGTCCCTTGTCCAGAGAAGCCAGCTAAAGATTTTTATATAAAATCTTCCATTAAATGTTAGCAACCATTTCCAATTCTGTTATAAAACTTATTGTGTAGGGCAGTATTTGGCAGTTCAACAATACCAACCATTTCTGAAGGGGCCGAAAGGCTAGAAGCTACGAGAGGTAGGAACGTTTGCCTGGTGCAAAGGTGAGGCTCAATCAAGACCCGTTTGTTGGGCGCCTGGATGGCTCAGTAGGTTAACTGACTGCCTTCGGCTCAGGTCATGATCCTGGAGTCCCTGGATCAAACCCCGCATCGGGCTCCCTGCTCAGCGGGGAGTCTGCTTCTCCCTCGGACCCTCCCCTGTCTCATGCTCTATCTCATTCTCTCTCTCAAATAAATTAATTAAAAAAAAAAAAATCTTTAAAAAAAAAAATAACAACCATAGAAAACAAGACTGATGGGCGCCTGGGTGGCTCAGTCATTGAGCGTCTGCCTTCGGCTCAGGTCATGATCCCAGGGTCCCGGGATCGAGTCCTGCATCGGGCTCCCTGCTCAGCAGGGAGTCTGCTTCTCCCTCGGACCCTCCCCTGTCTCATGCTCTCTCTATCTCATTCTCTCTCTCAAATAAATAAAAAAAAAAAAATCTTAAAAAAAAAATAACCATAGAAAAGAAGACTGATGGGCGCCTGGGTGGCTCAGTCATTGAGCGTCTGCCTTCGGCTCAGGTCATGATCCCAGGGTCCTGGGATCGAGCCCCACATCGGGCTCCCTGCTCCACGGGAAGCCTGCTTCTCCCTCTCCCACTCCCCCTGCTTGTATTCCTGCTCTCGCTATCTCTCTGTCAAATAAATAAATAAAAATCTTTAAAAAAAAAAAAAAAGACCCGTTTGTTGAATGATAAATAAGAGGCAGAGTTTTTAAAGGCCGTAAGTTTTCATTTTATGACAGAGTAAATGAAAAACCGACTCAAAGATCATCTTCAGGACTACCAATCAAACTGCAAGTTAGGCCGTAAAAAGAGTGAACTCCAGCCAACCCTGGGCAGCACAGAAGGCATTCAATCTGGCTTGTTCCTTATGAAGGGAAAGCCACCCACAAGCCTACCTATCATCTTTCCACCCAAGTCTTCAGCAGTTTCATGTCCAAAATGTACCCTTATCATCCATTTTTACCTTTTCATAAGAAACGTCATCAAACATCTCCCGAATCTGAGCAGGATCCTCCACAGCTGTTGAAACAGGATGTGAAGAATTTAATGCATCTACCTCCATCACATTAAAACACTTGCCGAAGAAATAATCGTCCTGTTGAGACAAAGACAACATCACCCACGTGATTTCTATTTTAGATAATAAATCTGAAAGGACTGATGTTTAGTTTGGGGTAATAGGTTTATACTTCAAATTTCTGGCCCAAACCTATTCCGTATTTATAGGGTTTACAAAATAAAATAGAATTGCTATTGCTAAAAAGCATCCAAGAAACAATTTTAGGTGAACATTGTAGATTTTGTTCATCTTAAATCCTATCACTTTAGAAGACCATATTCTCTTACAAACAAAACCATGATGCCTGTAGCCAAATAGTATCAAAACAACAAACTAAAGTGTGTAGATTGCAACATCTCCAATCATCTTATTTTAAAGCAAAGAAATTTAGATTTTAAACCATGTGGTCAAAAAAAAAATGGGTAACAAACTCAAAGTATAATCTGGTTTTTTAGGGCATATTACCTAATAGAATAACATACACACATAATCATTTTTATTATTAAGGGTTATGTGGAAATGGGAAAATATTTATGATCCATTGTAGTGTAACAGTTATATAGACGTTAACTATAAATAAGTGTGTACAGAAAGATGAAAATGAGAAGTCAAAATTATAGTAGGGTAAAGGACTGTTTGAGGTTTTTTTGTTTTTACTTAAAGGAAGTTTCTTTTTAACTTTATTGCATGTGATTTTCACAAGTTAAACACCTGATAAAAAAACAAAACACATAAAGGTTTCAAAGCATTTCAGTTTGTGACTCCTGAATGTAGGCTCATATATAAACAAACGTGCAGTTATCCAGAGCAAATGGGATCCTGTTTGATTTGACAGGTAGAATCCTATTGAAATAACAGCAATCTGTACTTAATAATCCTTCAGTGAACAACCTGAAGGTTGAGAAAATGATATGCAACAGACAGGCTGTCGTTACTTCTATTTCTTTGATATTAAAGGAGGGTAAGATTTAACTTCATTTCCTAACAATCACAGATTTGGAAATAAGCAATCCAGTTTGGAAATAAGCCTTTGTGATATCTTTAAAGTTCACTACCATTTTGGGAACCTGATTCCTAGCTCAACTATCAAGGAGTTAATATGTCTATGAATTCTATCACTGAGGATCAGTAAGTATTTTCCAGCAACACCGAATAAAACAACAGATCCACCTGTTAAAAACAAGTAAATACTTACAACTTTCAGTTCAGGATGAGTCACACTGACCGACACAAACTCCATAAACTTGGCAAATCCCTCATTTAACCAAAGATCATCCCACCATTCCATGGTGACGAGGTTCCCAAACCACTAAAAGGAAAACAGTAGATTGTTCACACATTTCTAGGGAGACTGGATGATCTACACAGCTATAAACATAAGGTATTCAGGAGGAAAGATTTCACATGTGCGATGCCAGTTTATGAGCAACATTTATAGAATACTTTATCAAAGTAAAAAGAAAAACCTTTCCATGTTCATTTTAAAACATGCTACCTAATGCTTTAAAGAACTCTTTTTACTTTGCCTTTTTTCCATAGGAAAATAATCGATCCAATTCATATGTCAATATGAAAAGTCTCTTCTGTCCCATAAAAGCAACACAGATGTAGTTTCACCACAATTTTTAAAAGCATAATTAGCTTTGTGTACCTGGTGGGCGAGTTCATGCGACACTATCATAGTAATGCCAAGCTTATCTTCTGCCGAAGACTTCTCAACGTCAAACAAGAGACTAGATTCTCTGTATGTGGTCAGTCCCCAGTTTTCCATAGCACCACTCTCAAAGTCCGGAATAGCAGCAAGATCTTGGGAAGGACACACAAATCTGTTTCCAGTCTTTAAATGACACATTGCATGTACACACTAACTTTCAGAACGGATGGGTGTAGGGATCCTAAGAAAAGCCAGGCTGGTTGTGCAGAATCCTATTCTAGGCTGGAAGAACCTTTCACAACCGAGAAAAAGAGGCTCTGTGATTCACTGAATTGCTCTGCTGCTGCGTGACCAAGTCAGATGCGGGCCCCAGGCCTCCAGACTCCCTATCTAGCTGTCTGACGAGTTTGGGGATTGAATACTCTTAATAATTTCCTCAATAATCCACTAGACTTGGGATGCCCCAGACTCCAGTTCACCTAAAATCTCAAACACACAATGGTCTGAAGAGCCCATTTAAGAAGGAAAATGCAGATTTTCCTTACACTGTATAAATTTGTTAAGAAAAATTTATTGAGCACCCTCTATATTCCTACCAAATATGTGCCAATCATGAAAAAAAAAAAAAGAAATGCAGCTTCTGCCCTTTGCTGTCTGCCCACTAATCCAGTTGGGTTTATCTTTAAAGTCAGAAGGTAGAATGATCACCATGACATGTGCCTCAGAACCTAATCAAGATCTGTTTCTGCTCTAATTAGAATTTACTGTATAGATTAGGGGTGAGAAGATCAACCTGATGGTCGACACCTGCCAGAGTTTAAGGACTTGAAGGGCTGAGATAACCACGGGAATGCCAATTAGGATATAATCCATAGCTGACATCATCAAATGCCGCAATTTGCAAAAACTGCAAAATCTTTACCTTGTTTGGGTAAGGCATATGGAATGCTGAAATAATCCTCATAAAATTCTAGAAGAGTCACTGCGGTATCCAGTGCATAATCTGCCTGATGGATCTTGTCTGGCACAGCATATATGGAAACCTGAAAAGAAAGATAGTTAGCTCTTCAAATGCTATTGTGGCTTCTCTCCACAACTGCATGGAAGATGGACATCAAAGGCTTCATTTTCTGCAGTATGATTGCCAATTAAGAAAAGTAGCAGTTCTATTTCTTGTCTTAGTGCTGTTTCTGATCAACTCCCCTTCTGAAAACTACAACATGCTGGATAACATCCACAAAAATGTCTTTTTAAATGTTCTTATGACATAGTGGAAAAGTAAAGAAAACTTAGATGCCAAAAGTGAGGGTGGGACCCTCCGTAGACAGCAGAGGACTACACCAGCTTTTGTCCTGAGGACACTAACCTAATACAGATAGATTTGGGTCTTCACAGCATTGAAGGTCTCAGAGGATAGGAGACCAAGTCCAGAGCCTGCCCAAGGTGGAAGCCCAACAGAAGACACACCAGGCATAAAGCTGGACCCTAAAAGACCACGCCCTTCTATAAGGGTAAACTAAAAATAGCCACCCCCTTCCTCAAGCAGACTGCAAGGGGAAAAAATGCCTTAGTCAAGTCTTGGTACTATATGGGGGAGGTCGAGGGAAGTCCTAAGAAAATCAGTAAAAGCTACTCTTCATGCTGGTTAGGAGCTGCACTCACACTAACCAGGGGGTTCAAAAATCTGAAGCTAATAGGTTGAATTAAAGTGGTTCATGAGTTCGTAAATGCTCCCAGTCACCTGACAGGAGCAAACAAATTCTCTCTGGAAGAATCCACCTTCAACTCAGGCAGTGTAAATTCAATATACACAAAGGAACTAGACACCATAAGCAAGAACCAGCAGAAATAACAAACCACAGAATCAGACACACAAAGACTTCAGACAGGACAGTTACTAGAATATAAAATGTATGTTTAATGTTTTTAAAGAAATAAAAGGCCTATAACTACTAATACGTAAAAGGAGTTCTGGGCCCCAAATCCAATGTATGTGTGTGTGGGAGGGTGCAGGTTAACCCCACACCTCTAAGCAGTTCAGCAATACCGCCTGGATGTCCCACAATTCAACCTGATTCTGACACTACCCAGAGATAGCACCAGATTCCACAACATAAAGGTTAAGTCTTACTAAACTGCGCCCCCCTTCCCTTCAGATGATATTCACAATTCCAGGTTACCATCTGTGCTTCTGATCAATAGGCTATAGTTTGGAAGTTGCAATGACCACCTTTCTAGGTGTGATTAATTTGCAAGAGCAGCTCACAAAACTGGAGAAATCTTTAACTCACTATAAAAGGACATGACTCAGGAACAGCCAGATGGAACAGGACAAGGTACAGGAAAAGCACAGGACAAGGTACAGGAAAAGGCAAAGAGCTGCCGTACAGTCTCCAGGCAGGCCACTCTCGCTGAATCTCCACACTTGCACCAACCCAGAAGCTCTCTGAAATGTCTTTTGGGTTTTTATGGAGGCTTCATCACACAGGCATGACCAAGAAGGTCATTAGCCCTCGGTAACTGAACTCACTCTCCAGCCCTTCTCCACCCCCTTGGAGGTCAAGGGGGCAGGACTGAAAGTTCCAACCCTCCAATCACATGGCTGGTTCTCTGGCAACCAACCCCCATCCTTAGGTTACCTACATGCTTTCCACAAGTCATCTCATTAACCTAACTAGAGACACCTTTCTAGCTGTCATCAGAAAATTCCTAGTATTTTATTTAGGAGCTCCATGCTAGGGACTGGGACAAAGACCATGTATATATATTTATTATAAATCACAATATCACAGTATGGAAGAGACATTATTAAAGAAATCTTTCATAAACGATTCCCCAAAGTGGGCAATTCAATGGGTGAGGGTTTTTGCTGATAGTTTCACTGCGAAATTTAGATTGGTCCCTACATTCAAGTCTCAAGCATCACTTTCAAATCTCCAGGTAAGTAGAAAGATCTCTACAAGAATAAGAACCACTAGGGGAACAAAAGATTATTCATCAGAGAAGTCCTACATATTCAGGCCTCAGTGAAAGCCAGCACAAATAAATGAGATTAAATTAAAGCCCTCCCCTCCAAAAAAAAAAAAAAATTGTTTGCATTTAGAGCCCAGCATACAGTTGAATAGGTTGTTCACTATACTTTGTTACCCAGGAAAAGGGCAAATAGTCCTTGAAACAAGATATTCTCTCTAGTATTCCAGTATTCACTGTCACAACTGCTCTCCCCAGAGCGATGTAATACTCTAAGCCAACTGCTCTATTTTACTTCCTTCTCAAGACTAGAGATCCTCTGTTCAGATAGTCAATCACACTTACTTCCGAACTGTAGAAAGTGATAGCCAGAAACAATTTCAGAAACCCCTGCAGGATCTAGTCCAATGTACACATTTTGCAGAAGTATAAACTAAGTTCCACAGGGAGCAGGGCCCAGGACAGAAAACCAGCTAATGGTGGAGCCAGAACCATGAATGAGGCCAGGCCAAGCCTCTTCATGTTTTTGTTTTTAGAACCTCATTGTAAATACCAGCATCTGTGACAAGAGGATGCCAACCACCCCGGTTTTTGCCCAAGACTCAGGGGTGTGCCCAAAATGTGGGACTCCCAATATTAAAGCCAGGACAGTCTCAGGTAGATGAGGACAAGTTGGTCACCCTATGTGACAATCTGACAATCCCAGGGTTCACCTTGACTCCGCTCTTGGTCATCTTGCTAATAGACTCAAAATCTGAAATAATGAAGGCCACCAGGTAGGTACTCATCTTCACAGTGACATCAAAATGGTCTTCTATGAGTCCTTCAGCAACAGTCACAGATTCAACCTAAAATCAGAATAACTGAAATCATCAGATAAATCATCAATCACCCAATACACTGAAAATACTTGATAAAGGGAAATTTCCTAACCACCAGACATAATACTCAAAGTATACAGCACAACATTTGTATAATTATCTTAAAATTTCTCTTTCCAGTATCTGATTGTAATTTCGATATTAAGGCCATTCTACTCAGTTTTTTTTAAGGAGATACAATTCACATACCATATAATTCACCATTTTAAAGTATATAGTTCAGTGGGTTTTTTTATTATATTCACAGAGTTTTGCAACTATCATCACTAAATTTCTTTTCAATACCCCAGATGGTTGCAAACTGGCCCATATTTGGTACATGAGGATTGATAATATGAATGGGACAAAGCAAAATTGAGATTGTTGGTTTTGCCAAGATGTAGACCACCTGACCTTAAATACAGGTATGAGAACTATCTGCAAAACACTGTCTAATTTGTTTTCCACAATGGGCAAACATGTAACCATGCACAACTTAAAAAGAGCTTCTGTTTCCCTACAAAATTGAAAGTAACACATGCCTGGGCCTGATGCGGCCAAGCTTCCTCCAAACTCTTGATTTGCTTCATTGGAATCTGCTTTAGGTGCAGTCAGGGAGCCGCCCTGCAGTGGGGTGGGGTGGGGGTGGTGGAGGGACAGTCTAAGAGGTCTGCTCCCCAAAAGGAAAGTCTAATACGTCAGGCAACACCAAGCAGTGGGGCAGGGCCCTGGAGAAGGAGAAGGAGAGAAGAACTAGCCCGGTGAACACAAGCATTTTCCCTGGAATCTTATTTCCACCTCTAGTTTTCTGTGCTCTCATCCTTCTTTGTAATACCCACCCACCAGTTCTGGTGTCTGCTGGTCACTCTCTGCTCCCCTGACTCTGATAGCCGACCTAGGTTTACTCTTGAAAAACCCCAACTTACCTTTTCTTTTTAAATGCCTTCTACCCACCCCTAGCCAAAAGTTTCATTCCTGAAGTTGTGCTCTTTACTAGGAAAGTAAGCTAATTAACTCAACTTTAAATGGGATGAAATCCTGCCCACTGCCCATACACTTCAATGTTCTGATGGAGTATTTGCTTTTCCAGCCACCAAAGAGATCCTTGGAGACTGCACTGTCCTTCCCCTGAACTCCGGGTCCACAGCCTGACTTCAGGCTAGTCCTATAAGATTTCTGCCAATGGGAGGGCTTTCCTGTCCAAGAGGCCAGACCACATTAGAGATTTTCCTTTCCTTAACAGATGGGTCCTGGATAGCCATGGATTTAGGCTCCAGCATCTTTGTGAAGCCTTGGGAGTTCCCAGCCTTCACGCTGCAAACCTACGAGTTTCTCTACCAGGCTTTTTTGGTCATCAGTCTCCCCCTTGATTTCATCTGCCCCTTTTCTTTATTCTCCCAAAGCTGTGATTGATCCTCTAATGAGAGAACTCACTCACAAACCCGGGAGCAATGGCATAACATTGGGGGATGGAACGATAATTGGAACAAGCTTGTTCTCTATCTCAAATTTCTATCAGGAAAACTGTAATTGTTCCCTGTTTTTTGTTTGTTTTTTTTCCATCTACAAATGTGGGTGGAATAGACAGAAGTTCTTAGTTGGTAGAGATCTGCTGAAGAGCACTTTTCACAGAGCATGGCCCTTTGAGGGGGGCCTGTGAGAATCTTGTTTGTGGAAAGGATTTTTAAGGTATTCAGTGCTGGGGTGGGGGGCTGGTGGTCTACAGAGTGTTAAGGGTTGCAAGGTACTGTCCGAGACGCTGGCTGTGGCGCTCGGAGTCCCACGCTAAGATTTTGCCCCCCTGGCCAGCACAGGGTTGAGCGGGAACACCCTTTAAGACTCTGGGCAGAATCTGTTCCATGTGAGTCTCGTCACACGAACTCTGAGGACAAAGGCTGTGTGTGCTTCAGGAGTTGATCCGCATCTGTTGCAGGCTGAGAGCTCAGTGGACGAGTTTTTCTAAGCTGTCAGAATCATTGGTCAGTGGCACGTACTGAGTAGCTTTATTCATTTGGCACAGCCATTCTCCCACCACTTTTGGGAAAATCAGATGGAACGCTGTCCACATTGGCTTTGGAATTGGAGGACGATGGTCTCTGTAAAGGGAACTGAGCTCTCTATCACTACTTACCTTTTGTACCATAATACTCCAAAAAGATTACTTTTTTTCTGTCAGCCCAATTTCGTGGCTATGGTCACAAATCATCTAGGTATTATTAGTATATCCTATATAGAAATTATAGAAAATAACTATATACTAGAAATATACCCTTATGTGACAAAGTATGCCCTTGAAAAGATCATATGAGAAAAGGAAGGGGAAAGTGCTTTGTGAAGGGCACTCTCATTTAAACCGGACCTGAGTCCCTATAGTGTCCCTCCTGTCAGTACCAGGGACCTGGAATGCCACTTGGACTAAAATCCTACTTGTTTTTAGGGCTAATTTTTTCTCTGACTACAGATAAATTACTGCTTGAAACAAAAGCACAGGTTGGAAATGAAGAAAGGAAAGTTAGCTGTCAGGCAATAAAACAAATAACACAGGTGACCTGAATATTAATTGTCACTGGGGTAACGCAAGTGACCGCGTATCAATGGATTTTTCCTATGAGTAGATACACAGGAGTTCAGACTCACCAGTGGCATATTGGAGATGGCGAGGTGTCTTGGCTCCCTTCTGATCTTGACTGAAAAATTCGCTTTGAAGGCAGGTTCATCAAAGCAGGGAAAGGCCATTCTGGCTGCAGTAGGTTCAAAGTGTGTTGATGCAAGTACTCTAAAATTATGGTGAGTGAAATAAAAATACAAATAAAGCACCAGGGACTCTAAAAGAGATGTGTGTTTGGTTTTTAATTCCTAGAGATACCATAAGATTATGGATTTCACTACAAAAAAAAAAATCTTTCATAGAACAGAAGTTATCATAAACTAAGTAAAAAGACGAGTAACAAACGGAAAATGGACTGAAAGCTATGTGACAAAGGTTTAACAGCCTTGACAGATAATGAGCACTTATAAATGAATAAGACTACACCAGCAACCAAGGGGAATAGCACGTACAGGTCATAAACAGGCAGTTCACAGAAGAAGAACCTACAAATAGTCAATAAACATATCAAAACCTGCTCAACTTCCTTAATAATCAATGAAATGTAAGTTAAAGGGACATATCTGTTGGCTTTTCGGCTCTAAAAAGACTTCCCAGATACAGTATTAGCTACAGATGAGGAATATGACAAGGGATATCAGAAGACTGTAGACCTTTAACTTAGCAATTATATGTAGGCATTTATTCTAAGGAAATGATTTACAAAGATATTGCTATTGTTGAAAACGTGGAAACAACCTAATCTCCATTGATGGGGTATTAGTTAAACCATTGCACATACATTATAATAAACTCATTAAAATAATGTATAGTGATAGCCATCTATATGAAACATTTCCTCAACATATTAAAATAAGATCCCGTATAGGATGGAAAATATAACATAGCTCCATTTATATAATGTTTATCCATAACCAGAGAGAAGTCTGGAAGGATGCTCCCCAAAATAAAAGTAATAGTTATATTTAGGGGCTGTGATAGGGGACAAAATTTACTTTTTAAAAAAATTCTTTTTGGTAGCATCTGACTTTTTTTTTTAACCTCCAAAGAATAATATGGACTCAGAAAAATGAATATAATCTACTAGCAAATAAAATTTGATTTTAAAATTCAGCATTGGGGCGCCTGGGTGGCTCAGTGGGTTAAACGTCTGCCTTCGGCTCAGGTCATGACCCCGGAGTCCTCGGATAGAGCCCTATGCCGGGCTCCCTGCTTAATGGGGAATCTGCTTCTCCCTCTCTGTCTGCCCCTCCCCCTGCTCCATTTCTCTCTCGCTCACTCTCTCTCTCAAATAAATTTTAAAAATAATAAATAAAATTCAGTATAAATTCTCCCAAAATAGTTTGCCTCCTTAAAAAACAGAACAAAAGCAAGGCAGATGAGGGTCTAAGAAAAAAAATGTTTCTTCTAATACGCTGTATGTATGTGATAAATTGCATCCTCCAAAAATATGTGGAAGTCTTAATCCCTCGTATCTGGGAATATGACTTTATTTGGAAATAGGGTCTTTGCAGATGTAATCAAATTAAGATGAGGCCATGAAGTTGGGCCCTAGTCTAATAAGACTCGTGTCCTTATAAGAAGAGGGAAATTTGGGGAATGGCCATGTGATAACAGAGGCAGATAAACTGATGTTGGTGCGAGCCAAGGAATGCCAACAATCGATGGCCACCATAAACTAGAAAGAGGGAAGGAAGGATTCTTTGCAGAGATTTCGAGAGAGCCTAGCCCTGCTAATACCTTGATTTTGGACTGCTAGGCTCCATAACTATGAGAGCATACATTTCTGTTGTTCTAAGCCACCCAGTTTATGGTACTTCATTATAGCAGCTCTAGGAAACTAATACTAGGCTAAGAGAATTAAAAATGTTTATTATATACCAGAAATCTAATTAAATGAACAAACAGGTACTTTGACAGAACTGAAGGAAAGAAAACTGGTTAAAACAGAATGAAAAAAATGAGATCCAAAAAACAAGAAAAATAATCTATTGGTTATTTTTAGCTATATAAATGAAACACAAAATCAAAATATTCAACAATCAAGGGAGATTTAAGAAATAATCCATATGAAATAACAAATTTAATATGGGCAGCACTTGAAGTTTACAAAAAAAAAAAAAAAAAGAAAAAACTACCTCATTTCCCCTTCCTTGGTCCTGTAAGTGCTTTTATAGAATCCATTTAAATGCTCAGAAAGATGGCCAGTGTAGTCAATGACAAGTGTGTACGGGATCCCAACAGCCAGAGGCTCGGGAGCCAGAAGTGCGATTTGTTCATGAGGCGGGTACTCCAGGACTCTCAAGGGTTCTGCAGACAGCCTCTCTCCGACTCTCCTCTTGAGGGTGGCCTTAGATATTTGCAGGAGGTGACTATGCAGGATGATGGTACTAGTAGGCTTGCTGGCTGTGATTTCTATCTCCGTGGTTCCCTCGAAAGTCAGAGTGGTGAGATTTGCATGGATCAAGAGATCATAATAAACTGGGATGATGTGCTCAGGAAGTCGCATTTTCTCCCAGGGGAACGGAGTCCCATTACTAGCTTTTGGAGACATCGTGTCACTGCTCTGACACCACGAAGGAGTTGACACAGTTAAGAGAATCAACAGTGAGGACGGTAGAAACAGCATGGTTGCCAGTGGCCATCTGATGGACAGAGATATCATCTTCTTGTTCAAACTACCTAGTGGCAAAATGTATAAAAGCCCCCCCCCAAAAAAATTGAGTCACTAAAATATTATCAAGACAGCATAATTTCACAATGTATCTACCCAGCATTAACCGATATAGATACAAACTTTCAAAAGTTCTAGGTCTTTACCCTATGTTATTGATTCACAGAAGAAAGAAGTTACTGGTTAGCAACAGTCTTCACACCTATTAAAAAGTATCATTTGGCTCTCCAAGTTTAAATGCACTCTATTTGTCAGGGTTCTCGGTTGAAAGCAATAGAACAAGCTCACTAAGTAGTTCACAAAAAGGGTCAGAGTTGTCAGGACATTTGGGAAGCCAGCCACATGAAACAGGCCAAGACAGCCAGAACCACACTAGAGAAATTGACCAGGTGACCTCTCCCCACCCACACTGCGCCTTGGAGGAAGCTGCCCTACTGCCTAGAGACCAGATGCTGGACACTGCCTCGGCCACTGTCAATATGAGATCCTTACGGCCCCTGCCACTTGGCAGGACTTCTTTCAGCCGAGGTAAGGTATTCACGCTACCAGTCAGGGAGGTGGGAAAAGCAAGAATCTGGACTTCATAGCTTCTGCAGTAGAGGACAGGTCTGGCTCCCCGCCAAGCTTATAAAGTCGAGAATGCCTAACATAGGAAGGAGACACAGACACTGAGTAGCAAAGGGTGGGGGGAGGCAAGTATCCATTAACAGTAACCCTTAATAACAGCAGTGTCTTTGTCAAATGTCATGCCAAAAGTTCATCTAATACGTGTTTAGCCAGGAATGACTTAAAGGGTTTATGGTGATTTTCACACCAATCGTTTCTGACAAATATAACAGTCTCCTGGATTCTCTCTTACAGTCATCCAACAAATACATGTTGAATGCCTGCCACATACAAGGCGGTGTGCTGAGTACTGTGTGGGATATAATAACACACAAGACACAAATCCCACAGTCAAGGACTTCAAAATCTGGAAAGGGAGAAAACATTCCTACACAAATGACAGAATGTAACAGAGAAAGTATGGAGCATTTTAAGAATAATAACAACAGCTAGTGCTGGGGGAGAAGGGAGAGAGTGACATCCGCCGCACAGCGACTCTGGGGTGCCTTCATGCAAGACCAGCATTGGAGCATGGTTTGGAAGGATGGGTTGGATCTGGAAATGAAGGGAGGGCATTAAAGACACGGCAGGTGGAGCAAACCAGGGCAGGAGTTAAAGCATGAAGGGAGAAAGCTGAGGGCTGGCTGGGCCATCAATGTGGACGGAGCAATCAATCTGGATGGAGAATGATTATTCACAAGGCGAGGAAGGGAGTGACTCCAAGATTATGCTCAAAGCATGTTGGGAGTCCTGCTGCAGACTATATTTGGCACTTTATTTTAAAGGTCTTAGGACATGAAAGGAATGTGAATTATAAGATAGTTGGCAACCATGGCTGAGAACTGAGCACATTTCTCTCTCTTAGACAAAGACATCTCTCTAAAAGGTGTTTGCCAGGACTCATCTAGAAGTTAGATGAGTCCAGGTAATTGGTCCTAATTCCCTCAAGCTCCTTGGGCTCCTGAACATAGACATCAGATGAGAAAAGTAGTAATGCTACAGTGTGGTACATGGGATTCTACCTCTATGTCAGCACTTCTCACCTCTGGCTGCATATTAACATCACCAAGGAAGCTTTTAAAATGACTGAGGCCTGGGTCCCTATCTAGAACAATTAAACTGAAATCTGTGGTGATGAGGTCAGGGCACCAGAATTTTTAAAAATCTTCCCAGAGATTCTATTGGAGAGCCAACCTGAGAACCTTCTAGATAACCTTGCCAAACTCTGGTCTTAGCCCTTGAACGCTATGTGGAAGAACAGCACTTCAAGGTAATAACTGATGTGCTCTCCCCGACCCCTCCCTCTCCATCCTGCTCCCCTGCTAAAGGTCCCTCCATCCCCCTTCCCCACAGAGCAGATCTCAGGCAAACAGAAAGGATACCAACACAGTAGAGACAGTCAAGCACAGAGGCACCATAATCTCAGTTCAAAAGGTACCACCCGGATGAAAGGGGAAGAGAGAATCAAAGGTTCAACAGGAAGAACAGGTTTTTTTTTGTTTATGTGTTCTTGTTTTTGTATGTGTGTGTAGGAACCAACTAGAGGATGCTTCTAGCTATGGAGAACTGAAGCAATTTGAAGGAGAAAAATAAAGTTTAAACACCAAAATAATAAAGGGTTCCCACTTTTACTTCCTCAGGCAGAATTCTAGTGCAGGGTCAAAACGATGGATTTCCCTTGAAGCTGGGACATGAGAAATAAAGGGAACTTGTGTGATGCTTCCATTTTGAATTTCTGATGGCAGTGGCCTTGTGGGTGCAGCCCATGCCCCAGGAAGGTAGGGAGTGCAATGCGGGTGGCAGGTTCAGGCATGGGAGAAGCCCCGAAGTCCCCAAGAGTTCCCAAAAGCCCAAGAGGAAATCTAAAAATTCCAACTGGTTCTGAGCTGACAGCCAGGCCTACAGGCTGCTAAAGGAGTTGGCAGTGGGACCCATGTCCAAGGCTTTGCAAGGTTGAGTCCATGAGGAGACGGAGTCAAAGAGAGCTATGGCTGTGTCTCAAAAGAGGATATAATGCCAGGAAACCACAATGGAACATGTAATGTAGACAGCATAAATGTCAGAATACAGATATACATATCTATAATTATAGCTATATTAACAATAATACATATTACACTTACAGTCAGAAAAGAAAACCTGGCTTTGCGTTCTTGCTCTTCCACCGACTGTGATCTTGGACAGGTTACTTAATCCCAGTTTCATTTTCTTCTCTCTCTCTCTTTTTTTTTTAAATTATTTATTTATTTGACAGAGAGAAAGAGAGCAAGCACAAGCAGGGGGAGCGGCAGGCAGAGGGAGAGGGAAAGGGAGAGGGAGAAGCAGGCTCCCCACTGAGCAGGGAGTCTGATGCGGGGCTCGATCCCAGGACCCTGGGATCATGACCTAAGCCAAAGGCAGGTGCTCAACCGACCGAGCCACCCAGGCGCCCCATTTTCTTCAGGTGTAATTTGAGAAAATAATACCTTTCTCACAACATGTTGTAAAGACTAAGTTAAAATATTCTCAATCATTCGTTCCCCAAATATTTACTGAGGACCTATTACGTGCCAGGGATTTTGCCCGACACTAGTAATGTAAGACAGCACAGATCCCTGACCTCAAACTGCTTATGGGCTCAGGGTGGGGAGGAATTCTTAACTGTGATTAGGGCTATGAAAGAAGAACACACACCTCCTGAATGAGAGTAACAGGGCAGAGTGATTTACATCGGGGGCTCGCTGAGGACATTTAAGCTGATTTAAAGGACAAATTCAAATTAGCTAAGAAAAGAAGGAGGAGAGTTTTCCAGAGGGAATAGCAAGCTTGTTCATAGGTACAGTAGGCGAGTCCTGGTTATGAAGGCCAGGGAACCCGAGGCACATCACGCAGCAGAAAGATGTACCAGGAGAGGCGGATGCGGCCAGACCACCACTCAGCCTGTAGGCTTGTGAAGGATTTTGGCTCCCAGCCTAAGTGCAATGAGAAGCCACTGGGTGTTGAGCTAGAAGGTCTTAGGATCCAGTTCACACTTTAAGAAGCTATATGGATCAAGAAAGGAGCAGGAGGGATGGCCAAGAAACCAGTTAGAAAGTAGTCTAGACAAAGTAAGCTGGTGGCTTATACTCTAGCGGTGTCACCAGAGAGAGCAGGAGGGAGTGGGGGAGGGGAGAGACAGAGATGGATGGACTCGACATCTACAGTTGGGGTGGACTGGAAGTGGGGGGGTGACTGAAAGAACACATGGGAATAGCTGCCAGGTTTCTAAAATGAGCATCTGGGTAGTCGTAGGTGCCATTGACTGAGAAGAAGACCAGAGGTGGGAGAGTTTTAAAAGAGAGGAGAGGGAATTATGGATTCATTTTTTAAAATACATTTGTGCTATCTCTGATATATCCAAGGAAAACTACCAGCAGACAGATGAATACACGTGTTTAGAGCACAGAGATAAAACTTTCCTGTCCTTTACTACATTTCTTTACAGTTTTAAAAAGTATCTGCCTTTGGCATCCGATTTTACTAAATAAAGCATCTTTCCCAGTCAAGGTGGTGGTAACAGAGTACCTAACTTCACTGCCAGGAAGAGTTCAAAGTTACTTTAGGAAACTTACTTCGCCCCTCTTTGGTGATTATGACTTTTCCCACTCACAAAGAAGGCAGGGGCAACTGATCCTGGGTTAGCTCACCCTTCCCTTTATTGGAACACTACTTAATGTGAAATCTACAGACTTCTTCCAAAATGTTCTGAATGATGAAATTAACAAGCACTGTGGGTTGTTACTGCTGGTAAACAAACAAACAAATGTTGAGTTAACTTGAATTTTTTTCAACCAGTTAGAATTTTTTCATTTAGGCCCGCCCACCTGAAAATGGGCTATGGTATCAGTACAATTCCAAATCCTTGGGAAAAGAAAAGCACTGGCCAATTTTTTAAAAGGTTTTTGTTCTTGTTTCTAATTGCTGACCACATCCTGAGTTGAGAGCAAATACTCTGGGCATTTACCAGAAAACTGAGCATTTCTTTCTGAACCTGGCCTACACAAAAAAAACCCTCCAGGAAAACGGTAAGGAAGTGTCTGCTCCTCTCCTTCCGTGAAATTAACTTGCCGGCCCACCTGGCAAGTAAGGCACCCAGACAGGAAACTTTTATTTGCTCACACAGGAGAACTTTATCTGAACTTTAATCTGAGTCAGAGTGAAGGGAAGGCAATTGCTGGGAATAAGTACAGGAGAGGCAAGGAAAGAACTGATCTTGAGGACGTGTATGGACTCCGATCCTTCAACACGCCCAACCCACTAGTTAATGCAAAGCCACGTTTGTTTGTCTGGCAACTACCCCCAAGGTACCCTTCGCAGCCGAACCCGCAGTCCTCCCCGCTCTTCCATTTGGCGCCACTAGCGAGAACGCGCGGAACCGGCGCACTGGCCCTGCGCCCCCTGCGCTCTCGCGCCCGAGGAGGACCCGAGCTAGGCTGCGCCAGCCGCCAAACCCGCCGCCCTCCGTGCGGACTCGGGCCCAGGTCCCACGACTCTCCCCGGCCCGGCGTCCCCTGCGCCTCACTCTCCTCCGCCGCGCGCCCGGGTCTTCGGGCGCCCCCGGCGGGCACCGGGAGGTTGCCGGGGCCGAGCCCTTCTCCAGCCCCGCGGCCGCTCCCCGAGGGGTGCGCCGGCGACGGGCGCGCTGTACCTGGGGGTCCGCGACGGAACCGGCTCACCCTCGCGCCGCTGCCGCCGGCCTCCCGTACCCCGGAACAGAAAGTGAAAGCGGAGCCCGCGCAGAGGCAGGCCGGCGCTGACAGGCGCAGGCGAACCCCCGGCGGAGGCGGGAGCCGGGTGAGGAGAAACCCGGCCGGGGGCAGCGCGAAGGAGACCGCGGGACCCCCGACGGAAATTCGCAATTGCGCAAGGGAAACAGCGGAGTTGCAATACGGGGGGCGATCACGTGGGAAGCAGCACTCCTTTCTGAACGCAGATCATTCTCTCTGAGTGTCTTTGGGGGTTATTTTTTTTCAACGGTTAGCCTTCGGCGCAGCGGGGCGTTGAAAACATTTAAAAAGGGTGCGTGCTCCCGAAAGTGACCGAGGCTGGACTCCAGCTCGCTGCTCCACCAATTCTGGACGGGCTCCACGCCGGTTGGACTCAAGCGGTGTCCATCATCTCGTCTCTGCAAATGGGCTGGGAGCTCTTGGCCCGCCTCAGAAAGAAACGAGAACCTTGGAAGGACTCCTTGTGCAAACTGCGGAAGCCTCTGGGCTTTTAGTGGAAGCGGGTTACGCTAGGAGATGCCTCGGAGGAGGAAGGGGATATAGATAGCCCCCCCCGACCCCCGGAACTTCCCCGCCACCACATAGGGGCGCTTGGGCCCCAAAGATTTGCTGCTCCCCACATTAAAACGTTCCCTCTGCTTTTTCAAATCAGATGACCATTTATCCGCTCCCCTTAGAACATCACGACTGGATGAAATGTCAAAAAAGCCCATCTTTAAATAACTGAGGGTAAATGAGGTAACAAGACAAAACACAAGCTTTCATACTCATCAAATGCTACAAGTTGGTGAGTGGCCCAACCCCCCTGGGAACTTGTTCTTACTGTACTCAGGCTGTCTTCTCTCATTTCTTTCCTGGCCTCCTTCCCTTTGAGAGCTTGGGGTTCCAAGTCACTGGAACAGTATTTCTCAACTTCTGTTTCTCAATTTTATGTTCGTTTTGAAAAATAACTAAATATATTTTGTTCTGCATAGTCTCTCCAGTCAAGGATATTTTGTAATATAAAATTAACCATCTGTCCCCAGCCCCAAAACAGGGTGAGATCGAGGCAAGTTTTCTTTCTTTACAATTCAACAAGAAATGGGCTTTGGGACTAGGTCATTTTTTTCCTTTGCAGTTGTGGCAGGGCTGTCAGCGGATAGCTCTGGCCTCCAAGGCCCCCCGATGTCAGTGAGTGAGCCCGTTTGCTCAGATGAGAACTTCCTACCCAGTAAATCCATGCATGCTCTGGGGATCTGGAGAGGCAAATGGAAGATCTCCAACACAGGCATATTGAATAATAGCAGGTGTTCCCTAAGAATCTAACAAACCCCTTATCAGTGACTGTGATCACTTTCCAATTCACCTGTTCACTGAAAGCAACAAATAATAAAGCCAACCTCATTTTGTGTGTAGTATGCATATAATTAAAAAGATGGAAAAGAAGAATGAAACAGCCAAAATGTCCAGTTATCTTTAAAGACGAATTTCTATGTTGTATCAGTGAGGGCTCAATCACAGAGAATAGAATCCATCCAAGCTATTTAATTAAAAAAGGATTTATTGCCGGCTTTTATGTGACTTACGTAAACACTGGGAAGGTTTAAAAAACACACACTAGGGGGAGCTTCCAAGAACAAATTCCGAAGCCATAATGTAGAACTTGGCCACCATTGAAACTAGTTCTTTTGCCACAACCCAGAAGCCATCTGCTAAATTGGGCAGCTGCTAGCGCAGGTTCTGGCTTCGGAACCATGTCATGATGTTACAGTCTGTCCAGCAAAATGAGTATCTCAAGCCGGGCCTCCCTCCCCACTTAAAACTCAGTTTCAAATTCAGCTGTCCTACCAGTGCTTCTGTTTGGTAGAGCCTGGTGCATACCCAGAACCTAGGTGCAAGGAGATCTGGGAAAAGAAGTATTTGCTTTCCAGACTCTGCAGTGGAGTGAGGAATTCTGAAACGATGTTGGAAGACGTACTGAGTAAGCCAATCACAATATTCACCATAAATATTAACCTGTATTGAAACTGAACAAATAGGGGTACCTGGGTGGCTCAGTCGGTTAAGCGTCTCCCTTTGGCTCAGGTCATGATCCCAGGGTCCTGGGATCGAGCCCCACGTTGGGCTCCCTGCTCAGCGGTGTGTCTGCTTCTCCCTCTGCCTCTTCTGCTCCCCCTGCTTGTTCTCTCTCTGTCAAATAAATAAATAAAATATTTTTTAAAAAGAAACTGAACAATAAAATAATTATAAGGAGATATCAAGTAATTTTGAATGTCTTTATGGACAAAACATAATAATTAGAAAATTGATTGTAAGTCTAATGAGAGGCATGGGGCACTTGGGAGAATGATGAATATTTACCAGATCAGATCAGCATTTAGAAATATGGCATACGAAATAATCACTCTCAAAGATGGTTTAAATCAGGGATGAGTTCTGAGGATGGATTGACATCTACCTTTCTAAACACTCTGTGCATTCAGCACAGTATTGTCATATTTTGTGAATGATATTGTTGCCTTCCAGGACATCATCAAAAAAATGAGCATATAATAGACTTTCATCAGCTGTGGATTTAATATTCACTGTTTTGACTCTTTGGTGGGGGGGGGAGACTGGATATCTAGAACCTGAGTAGTTGGTAATTTCCCTGAAGCATGAATTAGAATTATAATGACCTGATGTGAGAGGAGGAGCCACTTGACCCTTGAGTGGACCTGCCCAACCACGCAAAATCCACACCCCAGTCCAATCCTGTTGTTCTATTCATCATCACAGGCACGGTCAGTTTCTGAAGTGGTAAAAATCTAAAAAGAAAAAAGACTGAAGCTGCATTTCTAAAATTTCATGAAGGAGTTAAAGCAGTCACAAAGTTTTAAAACATTTTACTGCATTTTGCAGGAGAAAACATGTACTCAAATGTATTTAAAATTACAGTCCTGCCAAAGCCTTTCAAAAGTCTGCTGTATAGACTTCTCTGTTGGCAGATCTAGAAGAAAAGCAGGCCTGGGCATTCGGTCCCTTGGACCCAGCTGAAACACGAGGTGAAGAAAGGGGCAGAAGGATTCCTTATCTATGGCCAGGTACTGGCAGTCATGTCCTAAGCCTAGATGAGTAACAAAGTCAAAGCAAGAAAAAGCCAAACTTAGGAGCTGTGTGAAAACTAGGAGATGAAACACAGAGTTTAGAAAGGAGCTCTCAAAGCAGGGGGAAATCTGAAGCTGGTAAAAGCACGAGGGGCCAAAGGGAGCACATCTCTGTAATAAAAAATTGGTGCATTTTGAGCATTTCCTATGTGCCGAGCTCTGTACCAAACACTCTATATGAAATGCATCATTTAATTCTCAAGAACACTCTAGGGTATGTGCCGTTATCATTTCCAGTGAGAAAATGGAGACTCTGTAAGGTAAGTAACTGCTGGGATATATAGCTAGGAAGTGACAGAGCCAGGTTAGTGGTGCAACTAGGATGAATTCTAGAGATTAAGTGCTCCCGCTTTTCAAATCTCTCCTAGTGTAGGTTCACTTGCGTGCCATCTTGGTTTAAAAGGAATCGGTGAGGGGTAGACTCTTGCAAGTATGGTTGCAAGATCTTGTTTTCAGCCTGGTCACCCAAGCTATGAGCCATTAACACAACATTATCATCTAGGACCTTTGCTCTTTTACCACTTAGCTTGACCTGGGCCTGTCAGTATTACTTCCAAAGGGTGTCTCGAATCTTTCTCTTCCTCTTCATTCCCATTGCCTCCAGTCATCTCATCTGTGCTATTACAAATGCCCTCTTAACTAGTACCGTAACTTCTGACTTCCTCTTCTTGGATCTGGTTTCTGTGCTATCATCTGTCTAAACAACCATCTAGGGGTGCCTGGGGGCGTGGTCAGTTAAGCATCTGACTCTTGGTTTTGGCTCAAGTTATGATTTCAGGGTGTTGGGATTGAGCCCCACGTTGGGGCTGTGCACTCAGCGGGGAGTCTGCTTGAGGATTCTCTCTCTCCCTTCCCCCCATGCTCTCTGTCTCTCTGTCTCTCTCTCAAACAAATAAAAATCTTTAAAAGAAAAAAAGACAGCAACTACTGTGATGGGGGAGGGGAGAATATGTGGGGAACAGGGGGAACAGGGGTACAAGGAGGGCTCAGGGAGGGAAGCAGAATCAAAAACATTGTCCACAAAAACATGGGCCCAAAAACCTAAATAAAGTCCAGAGAAGGTATCATTCCAATTAGAACCAAACAGAAATCAAAAACCGGGTCTCGAGCAGAGAGGCTACAACTAGAATCAGTCAGAAAAACAAGTTGAGGAAGTGTGTGAATAGAAGGTAATGATTTCTTTCTTATATAGGCCTTTAGATTTGCCTGTGGGTGGGAAGAGACAGGTGACAGGTGCCCTTAAGAACAGGGTATTATGCTGAACTATGCTATGTAACAAATTTAGTTGCTGGAAAAAACACACATTTATTGCCTCACGGTTTCTGGGGGTCTGGCTTATAGGCACAGCCTGTTTGGGTCCTCTGCTGAGGGTCTCACAAGGTGGCAATTAAGACGTCATCCGGGGGCTCAGTCAGTTAAGCGTCTGACTGTTGGCTCTTGATTGCAGCTCAGGTCATGATCTTGGGGTTGTGGGATTGAGCCCCACGTTGGGCTCCGAGCTGGGCATGGAGTCTGCTTGGGATTCTCTCTCTGCCCCTTCCCACCGCCCCCCTCTCTGCCTCTCTCTAAAAAAAAGATGTCATCCAGGACTGTGGTCTCATCTAAGGCTTGACTAAGGAAGGATCCACTTCCAAGCTCACTCAGGCTTTTGAGGAATTCAGTTCCATTAGTTTATAGGACTGAGCTCATCAGTTTCTTGGGGCTATTGACTGAAGTCTGCCCTCATCTCCCCGTTCTTTCCCACGTAGGATACCCCAGCATGGCTGTCTGCCTTCCCCAAGCCAGCAACAGAGGGAGCAACTCAATCAAGGTGAGCTTTACAGTCGCAAGTAACACAATCACATAATCATATACATCCCATCACCTTTGCTGTATTCTATTCGTTAGAAGCAAGGGGCAGGTCCTGCCCATACTCTCGGGCAGGGGATCACACAGGGACGTAGATACCAGGAGGCAGGGATCAGGGGGCCACCTTAGGTGTCTATCCATCACAGGTACCAAAAAACTTTGACACCACTTCTTACCTTACCAGTCCCCCAAAGTCCACTCCCATCACCCTGACCCAGGGCCACACGATCTCGTGCCTAGATACTACAACAGCCTCCAAGTCCTCCTCCTTTCTGGGCTTGCCTCCTTAAAATGCATTCCACACAGCAGGCAAAGTTGTCTCCTTCGAATGGACAAGAATCTTAGTCTCTCACTCAAGCGTGCAAAATTTAACACATTTTAAATTTTTATCTAAATTAACAAATTCTACCCTAAGATTCCATTCCATGAGATTGTTGGGATATCCAGTCTCAGTTATTATTGGCTTCATTTAACCCTCCCCCCAGGGCACCCTCCCAAGGTCTTAAGCACTGCCAAAATATCCCAGGGTCTTATGTTCCTACTGGTTACCATGGACATACTTCTTCAGCTTCAAGTCCAGGGCATCTGCTGCTTCCAGGCCTTGCTGGTTCAGAGATAGCTTTGGCCCTAGGCTCCAACCTTCCTAAATGCAGCATGTGCCCAGCCTCTCTGAGATCTTGGGGCCTCCCCAGGAACATGGTTTCCTAGTGGTACACTTGTTCCTTCTGTCTTTGGGATGTACACACCTTCACCTTGACCTAGGTTGGGAATTCAGAAATTCCTCTTGCTATTTTCCCTTTCCTCCACCCTACTGAGTCACCAAAATATTCAGCTTTTCTCACAGTCAGATGTTGCTTTCGAGCAAGTTCTGCTTTAGAGCACACAAATGACCCTAAAACAGGGAAGTTGAAAACTCAGTTATCTGCTTGAGCTAGAGGACTCAACAACATGGGGAGGAAGACACACAAATTAATACCTTAATTTTCTTTTGCTATCTTCCTTCAGTAAAGCTGCATACTCAGGCAGGAAATCCCACCCTTTCCAACTTCCTCCAAGAAGATGGGACTCAAGTTCCTATTGTGAAGCATCTTGCCCTGGACAAGAACTCCTATACAAAAATTGAAGCCTGCTTGTGGAAGACTCCTTTTCCTGGACTCCCCAGGCCAGGCAGGTGAATGTAGGTACTCGGTGAATTTCTCACTCCAACAGACCTACTTCCCGGGGACATCTCCCTTAAAAAGGGTCCTTCTTGGCACTGGCTGCATCCCACCCAGAACATCAGGCCCGACCCGGCATCCTCGGAGTGTAGTAAATCTCTGATGAAACTTAACCTGCACCAGGTGAGACTACAAATAACAGGTCTGTCTTCCAATTTGAATCTCCAGTGATGTTTAACCTTTTCTCAGGGCTATTCTCTCACTAGCCACCCCACCCTAACCCACCCACCCAAATTAGGAGGTAGCCCACATCAAGGAGGGAGGACAGTGGCCCCTCTGTGAGTTGCTAGGGCCTTTCCCTGTTTCTTTTTCCCCCGCTGGTTAGATGAGACCCACCTCCTCCCATTGTCTGTTGTCCTTTCCTCTACCCAAACATAAAGAGCCTCATTTCCCACCCTCCTCTCTGCACTTTAGCCACACTAGCCTTTTCATTTTTCTAGTGTGCTCTTCTTCTTCTTCAGCCCCATGACCTTCCTACATGTTCTTCTAGCTGCCTTGAGTTCCCCTAGCTCCTGCTGCTTCTAGCTTACTCCAATTCTTCCAACTCTCAGAGGCCCCTGCTTTATCTCTCTGAGGGCAAGAGGAGATGTAGGGACCAACCGAGTCTAGCCCTCTGAGAAACCAGAGCAGTTCCACTGTCTGAGCCCCCTCAAATTTCCCGACATCACCCCCAAGCCAGTCGTGCCTTAGTTCTGTCATTGCTGGCAGTGAGTTCCCACCTTTTAAAGAAAAAAAAATATATTTCACTTTCATTTAGTTCCAAATACTTTTTAATTTCTTTTGACACATCCTCTTTGCCGTATGTGTTGTTTGGTCTTCAGATACCTTGGGATTTCTGGCTATCCTTCTATGATTCATTTCTAGGTTGATTCCATTGTAGTCTGAAAGCATACTTTGTGTGATATTTATTCTTTTAAATTTGGTAAAGTATGTTTATGGCCCAGACTGTGGTCTGTCTTGGCAAATGTTCCACGTGAGCTGCAGAATATGTAATCCTGCTACCATTAGATGAAGTATTCTATAAATGCCAATTAGAGCCAGTTGATTAATGGTTATATCTCTTTTTCACCATTGAATCTCTGCGATGTTAACAGAGAGTATGACCCATAGTACGTGCTCCAAAAAGTTATTGAATAAGAGGAGAAGGAGCAAGCAGGAGGAAGGGAAAAATGGATACAGAGATTTCACATGTTATTCCCCTGATTAAAAGCTTTCAGTTAGGGGCGCCTGGGTGGCTCAGCCGTTAAGCGTCTGCCTTCGGCTCAGGTCATGATCCCGGGGTCCTGGGATCGAGCCCCGCATCTGGTTCCCTGCTCAGTGCAGAGCCTGCTTCTCCCTCTCCCCCCACCCCTGCTTGTGTTCCCACTCTCGCTGTCTCTCTATCAAATAAATAAATAAAATCTTCCAAAAAAAAAAAGCTTTCAATAGTTCACTATAATCTATACATTTTAACTGCTGTTCTTCCTATTCGGTAGTAATATGTCACAATTTTTTACTATATTTCTTCTGTAACAAATGCAATCATTTTATGTACCACTGTAGAAGGGGGAAAAAACCTCCTGCCAAGAAAATTGTGAGATGCCATCAATTTTGAAGTTGTTAAGCTATGAAAAAACGTGAGTCATAGAGTTGATAAAATATTGGAGTTAGCTACAAGCTTGTCTTACGTGGCGGATGGGTCCATAGCTTATTTATCTCTGTGTCCCCAGCACCAAACACAGTACATGACACAGAGTAGACGCTGAATAACATTAGTTTAGTCATCTGAGGTGTCCCTCATTCCCTACCACCAGACACCTGGCTTTCCTTCACTCCCCAGCCTCAGAGCCTTTGTGCTCTAAAGCTGCCAGTGTTCCTGGCGGGCCAGAGATTTAAATTCCTTTTGAAATGCATTTGCTCCACAAAATCCTGACACCTTTTCACTTTTCTCATAACTTTGCTGTAGGCTGTCAGCTACATTCCCGCTAAGTATCTGCCAGACTCCCCAAAGTGCTACTGTGAGCAAGTAACATCCTGCCCCACTCTGCCCACTCCCTCCAGGCCTTCAGCCTGAGCCCAGAGATGCGCCCGTGACGTTTTAGGTGCTGCAGCAAACCAGTGGGGAAGAGAATTCGGGCAGGGAGCACTTTCGGAAGCTTCAAGTAGGTTGTTAATTACTCCTGTCTATACACAGGGCTGGCCTTTCTCTAACTTTTATTTATTTTGACTATTTGGGAAAGCAAAAAATAAATAAATAAATAAGTAAAACTCAGGGATCTGCACCTCAGTCATATAAACCCGATTCCTTTTAATCCCTTTTACAGAGGACTTCTTTAAAAGACTGATCTTTCAGAGAAAGACAATTATATGATTTCACTCATAGGTGGAATTTAAGAAACAAAACAGAGGAGCATAGAGGAAGGGAGGGAAAAATAAAACAAGATGACATCAGAGAGGAAGACAAACCGTAAGAGATTCTTAATCATAGGAAACAAACTGAGGGTTGCTGGAGGGGAGAGGGGTGGGGGGGATGCGGTAACTGGGTGATGGACATTAAGGAGGGCACTTGATGTAATGAGCACTGGGTGTTATATACAACAGATGAATCACTGAACTCTACCTCTGAAACTAATAATACACTATATGTTAATTAACTGAGTATAAATTAGATTAAATTTAAAAAAAATAAAAGAATGATCCTGGGGCACCTGGGTGGCTAAGTCAGTTGCGTGTCTGACTCTTGATCTTAGCTCAGGTCTTGATCTCAGCGTCTTGATCTCATGAGTTCAGGCCCTGTGTTAGTTAAAAAAATTTAAAAAAATTTAAAAAGTAAAAGAATGCTTCCAAATGGGTATCTTGGTGGAGTGAAGGTAGCTTCTCAATTTAGCCAGCATGGTGGTTTGTTTGTTTTTAAACATGTGAATTGGCTATCTATTCTCTAGTGGGCCAGGACATCATTTCCTAACCATTGTACTGTGGTAGGTTCATATATTCCTATTACCCACTGGACCTTTCAAAGTGTCTGAATTTTGCCTTGAATTTTTTTGCCTTGAATGTGTGCTTTTTCTTCTCCAGAAGGACCTCCAGCTCACCATGTCCCCTTAATTTTCTTACCCTCATTTTGAGATTAATTGGCCATTAGAGATGGGTCAGTTTCTCTCACTGTAGGAGAAACTATTCCCTGAAGATGAAATGAACTGGTTATAGAAATGTTTATTAGGTATATTTACTGGTGCAGGGTGTCGCTCTAAAATAATCTCGACCTTATCATAAATCTCACATATCCATGGCATTTATGAGGCAGTGTTGGAGAAGGGAGAGGGATGGATGGGATTAACAAAGCGTGTCACAATGTTAACATTTAGTACCACATGAACAGTTCTGGGATCTGAGACCCCCTGTAACCCCAGCTCTAGTTCATACCTTCCAACCACATCTTCCCTGTGTTCTTGCTTGGGTTTAGTGAGCACAGGAAGAAGGGGGTAGGGGTGGGTAGAAGTGTAGCGTCTTGGAGAAGTTCTAGTGAGTCCTTTAATTGGTGGCCACAAAGAACACGTGTTCTTTCATCTTCCTTTATAGTCAGTCAGTTGGAGGTAGAAAACACGTGAGTAAGAAGTTAAAAATAACACTGAAATGTTTCCCTCTGTTTAAGGAGTTAAAATACAAAAATGTTTTCTGGAGCTGGCTGCTTTTAATCTTAAAATAGTAATGGTACTTTCCATTTCCTTTTTCCCCTCCACCTCACCTTTCCCCTGCCTCCTAGCCGCTGCATGCCACTCACCCCACTGAAAGAAATGGAAGTTTCCAAATGCTTATCTGAAGAACACTGAGACCCCTGTATTGGTTGAAACCCCATGAGGGTAATAGAAGAATAGTGGATCCTGAAACAGTGACCATTATTTTTCCTACCAGGCCAATTTAAAGTCAAATTTATTAGGTTTCATAATTATTTTCCAAGTAAGATTTTTCATTCATAGACTAACCTATTTAAAGCTACAGGGATAAATTAGGCCTATTAGAAATGAACCACACTCATCTTGTAAATTATTTTAAATTTTAAGCCTGGAATTCTCCTGCCATTTATAAGAAAGGAAAAATTTTCTACTAAGCACAAAAAGAACAGAACCACTGAAAGCATAGTCACCATCTCTGCTGCCTTTTGTGGTATCTAACCCCAATTTCTTCTTATTTTCTATTTTAGGGTCAAGGCTTTGATTTATAGGTCTTTTTCATTATGGAGATATAGTTCACATAGATTTGTGTAAGTTTCAGATGTACAACATGTTGATTTGATACACTTATATATTGCGTATTGCCACCAAGCAGTAGCCAACATCTCCATCAAATCACACAATTATCATTTCTGTGTGTGTGTGTGTGGTGAGAACACGTAAGATTAGCAGTCTCTTAGCAACTTTCAAGTATATAACACAATAATGTTAACTATAATACAATGCTGTGCATTAGATCCCTAGAACTTATCTTGAAACTACAAGTTTGGCCAACATCTCCCCAATTTCTACACCCCCAGCCCCTGGTAACCACCATACTACTCTCTGTATCTACATTTGCTTTTTTTAGATTCCACATGTAAGTGAGATCATACAGTATTTGTCTTTTTCTCTGACTTACCTCACTCAGCATAATTTCCTCAAAGTCCATCCATGTTGCCACAAATGGCAGGATTTCCTTCTTTCTCATGGCTGAATAATATTCCATTGTTTGAATATTCCACAACTTTTTTTTATCCATTCATCCACTGATAAACATTTAGGTTGTTTCCATATCTTGGCTATTGTGAATAATGTCAAAATAAACATGGGAATGCAGATGTCTTTTCAATATCCTGTTTTCATTTCCTTTGGATAGATACCAAGAAGTGGGATTGCTGGATCATATAGTAGTTCTATTTTTAATATTTTGAGGAAACTCTATACTGTTTTCTGTGGTGGCTACACCAGTTTACATTCCCACCAATAGCGCACAAGTGTTCTCTTTTTTTCACATCTTTGTCAACACTTGTTCTCTCTTGACTTCTAGATGTCAGCCATTCGAATAGGTATGGGACGATATCTCGTGGTTTTGATTTGCATTTCCCTGGTGATTAGTGATGTGAGCATCTTTTCATATACCTCTTGGCCATCTGTATGTCTTCTTTGGAAAAATGCCTGTTCAGTTCCTGTGCACTTTTTTTTTTTAATTGTATTTATTTATTTGAGAGAGAGAGTAAATGAGAGAGAGAGAACACAAGCAGGGAGGGGCAGAGGGAGAGGGAGAAGTAGACTCCCTGCTGAGCAGGAAGCCCGACATGGGGCTCAATCCTCGGACTCCAGGATCATGACCTGAACTGAAGGCAGACCCCTAACCGACTGAGCCACCCAGGTGCCCCCCTGTGCTTGTACATGTGCTTTTTAAATCAGGTTGTATTTTTGCTGTTTTTGTTGTTGAGTTATATGAGTTTCTTATATATTTTGGATACTAACCCCTTATCAGATATATATTTTGCAAATATTTTCTCCCATTCTGCACACTGCCTTTTCATTCTAATAGTTTCTTTCACTCTGCAGAAGCTTTTTAGTTTGATGTAGCCCCACTTGTTGATTTTTGCTTTTGTTGCTTGCGCTTTTGGTGTCATACACAATCACTGGCAAGACCCAGTTAAGGAGCTTTTTCCTTATGTTTTCTTCTGGGAGTTTTATGGTTTCCAGTCTTATGTTTAAATCTTTAATCTATTTTGAGTTAATTTTTGTGAGTGGTGTAAGATAGGGGTCCAAATTCACTTTTCTGCATGTGATTATCTAGTTTTCGCAGTGTATTTGTTAGAGACTATCCTTTCCCCATTGAGTATTCTTGGCTCCCTTGTCAAATATTAGTTTGACTATGTACTCAGGGGTTTATTTCTGGGCTCTTGATTCTGTTCCATTGATGTGTCTATTTTGATACCAGTACCACACTGTTTTAATTACTATAGCTTTGTTATATAGCTTGACATCAGGAAGTGTGATTCTCCTTCTTGCTCTCTTTTTGTTCTTTTTTAGGATTAGTTTGGCTACTGGGGTCTTTTGTGGTTCCATACAAATTTTAGGATTGATCTTTCTATTTCTGTGAAAATGCATTGGAATTTTGATGAGGATTGCATTGAATCTATAGATGGCTTTATGTGGTATGGACATTTTAATAATAATAAATCTTCTGATCTATGAACTTGGATATCTTTCCATTTGTTTGTGTCTGCTTCAATTCGTACATTCATCAAAGTCTTACAGTTTTCAGATCTTTCACTTCTTTGGTTGAATTTATTCCTAAGTATTTTATTCTTTTTTGATACTATTACAAATGGAATTTTTAAAAATTTCTTTGTCAGATATTTAGTTGTTAGCATATAGAACTGCAAATGATTTCTGCATGTTGATTTTCTTCCTGCAAATCTACTGAGTTTGTTGATTAATTCCAACAGCATTTTGGTTGAGTCTTTAGGATTTTCTATTCTGTATATAAGGTCATATCACCTGCAAACACAGTTTTACTTTTTCCTTTCCAATTTGGAAGCCTTTTATTTCTTTATCTTGCCTGATTGCTCTAGGTAAGACATCAAGTACTGTGTTAAGTAAGAGTGGTGAGAGTGGGCACCTTTGTCTTTTTCTGTCCTAAAGGAAAAGTTTTAACCTTTCATTGTTAAGGATGACATAAGTTTGTTACATATGGACTTTATTATGTTGACGTATGTTCCTTCTATATCCGATTTGTTGAAGGTTTTTATAATGAAAGGATGTTGTATTTCGCCAAATGCTTTTTCTGCATCTATTGAGATTATCTAATTTATAAATTTT